CTCCAGCTGAACACACCAAGTGCCCTCAGTGTCCTCACACGGCTTCAAATCAAGGCCCTTCCCCATCCTCGTTGCCTCCTTTGGACACTCTCTAAGAGCTGAATATCTCTCTGATTTGTGTGCAGGTACCTGTGCACCTCTCCCTGGCAGCATTTCCCTGGGACCTGCTGGGTGCTTTGGGGCCTGAGAATACCCACAGCTGCCTTGGGGTTCACAGCTGTGCTGCCTTGGGATGGAGAAGGTGGAAAGCTGTGCCCCAGGGAGTGTCCCTTCCTCCCTCAGCCCCTGGCTGACAATCGAGCTGCCAGCAGAGCTCCTGCCCCCACGCCCTGTGCCCACTGTTCTGCTGCAGACTATAAATTACCCACGGCCACTTTTAACACCTCACTACAGTTATGCCCAAAAAGGTTCCAGTCTCAGTGGCTCTGGAAGTGGTCAGAGCATCTGCCTGTCCAAACAGGTGTTGATAATAAGGAAATACCCCCCTCGGTGAGAGGAATTTTAGAAGCTGTGAGGAGAGGTCGCAGGGGCAGCGCGAAGGCAGCTCCGTGCACCCTCTGACACCCCCGGGCACGTGGCTCCAAGGACGGGAGCTCTCCCTGCAAACAGATCCCCGGCAGAGCCTGTGCCAAACACAACTGCTACAACACAGCCCTTGTGCTGTGCCTTTTGGTTAGGAATGTTCTGCTGGACCAGGAATTCCCAGGCTGTTTCCTGAGGAGGTGGAAAGCACAGAACTGTTGCATGGTTTAACTGGAGAAATGAGCGTTCCTGAGGCAACCACTGGAAAAATCTTTCTCCGGATTTTAGGACAAAACACGCAAGACCCGACACAGCTGCCCTACAGTCCACAGTCCCTCTCAGAGCTACAGAGAGCATGCAGAGGCTCACAGTCATTTCTCAGTGTTTGGTGAGATGCACTGAGTAATTTAGTTGAGAACCAAAGACATCTCAATGCCACCACACAGAAAAGAAATCCATCATGGGAACAAGCAAAATCAAATAAAAGTCTTTTCCTGCTCATAAATGAGTGTTTCCTCACACTCCATCATCCCCCAGAGGTGAAGAATTGCCTGGCTTTGATGGATTTGGATGAAGTGGGAGAAGGAGACACAGGGTGGGTGCGAGGGCAGTGCCCTGCCAACAGCTCTGTCAGCAGCCCCAGCAGCAGCTTCAGGGCTTGGCTGTTTGTGCTGGCTCCCCGTGAGTACATGGGGTGAGGACCCAGCACACACATCCTAAAAGAAACCATCCAGCAGAGCGTCTGCTCCAGCCCATGCCAGAACCCACCTCCCTTTCACACTGGTTGTTCTCTGTGTGCTGTGCCCTGCAGGAAGGTGAGCTGACCAAGAGCTGTTTAGATTGAATATTCAGAACAATTTCTTCACCGAAAGGTTGTCAGGCACTGGCACAGGCTGCCCAGGGCAGTGGGGGAGTCACCATCCCTGGAAGTGTCCAAAAAACACATGGCTCTGCTGCTTAGGGACATGGGTTCCTGGTGGCTTTGGCAGTGCTGGGTGAACAGTTGAAATCAATGATCTGGGAGGTCTTTTCAGCCTAAATGATTCTGTGATTCTGTGGTTTATGGTCAGGGCTGCTGGGTAGCACAGGACCTTCAGCCTGACCTCTGCTAGTCCTGAGATGTCCCTCCTGCTCCAGGCTTTCTGCCTTCACTGCCACAGCCAAGATCACCTGTTTGCAGTGGTGTAGGACAGTGTAACCCCATGTTAAAGCTAAGGATTCATCCCTAGGGGAAGAACTGGAGCTGGAAAGTTGTGATCCCATCACAGCCTCCCAGGACATGCCATGGAAACAGGTCTCTGTTACTCTGCCCTACAGTCTGTGTGGGAAATGTCTCCCCTGGACCATCAATTACAACACACAATCAGCTCCACTGAGCCAGAGTGTCACAGCACAGTCCTGGCAAACGGCCCTTCCTCCCACTTCTCCCTCATTAGGCTGCTCCTCCCCTGCTTGGTCTTTAATTAGCTTGTCATCAGCAACTTGGCCTGGGTTGAACACCTCGCATTGTCCCAAATGAAAACATGTAAGACAGATGGGACACCAAAGGCAGCAGGAGAGGAGGGTGAGGAGACATGCAAGGCAATCAATATGTGTCTGACTGCAGGGACAGCCTTGCCAGGGGCAGCAGCAAGAGCTCAGCTGGCTTGGACAAACTGGGGGTGTTCAAACTGGAGGTTGGCTGAGACCAAACAACCTTGTTACAGCAAACCCAACATAGGTCCAAGAGCAGGGAGAGACAAAACCCAGCAAAACCAGTAGCCTTGAGGAAAGAAGCTGTTTATTGTGCCATTGAAGAGCCCAGCCATGGTCAACCGGCCCATTTGGCTTGGAGCAGTTCCCCAAGGAAGCATTGCCACAGCCCTGACTCCCTGCTTTTCCCTCATTCAGAGGCCAACATTTGGCCTCAAATCACCTTTCCCCTGCGTTCTGCAGCGGGCTGTATTCCCTGTGTGCCACCCACGGAGCTCAGCAGATGCTCCATGGAGCCGGTGCAAAACATTGAGCCAGCACACGGAAGGAGGGAGAGCAGCAAACATGCTGGGCGGGGAGGGCAGCCCATCAAACTGGCACCTGTTGTCAGGCAGAAGCCAAGGCTTGTGTCAGCCTGCTGCAAATGTTTTCCCTTCGACCCCCCTGACCTTTTCCATCACACTTGGTGAGGCAGACTGCTCCCATTAAGTGCCACTTGATCCTCTGCTAATGCAGCAGTTATGAAAGGCCCACAGCACTTGTCACTAGGATAAACACCTCTGCAGCGGGAGAGGGGGCACAGACTCGCTCTGCCCTCTGCTCCCTCACCTCCCTTTCCTGTTTGCCCAGCACCACTGTCACAGCCTCTGGGTTGGAGCAGGAAAGCTGAGCCTGGCTGGAGCTCTGAGCTCTGCTCGGGCTCAGCTGCCAGTGCCTGAAGGAGCACACGGAGAGGGGCTGGTTTTGTGGTCAGAGAAACATTCCACTGCAAGGGAGGGGTTCAGGGTGAAGCACTGGCTGTGCTCCCCTCACCACTGACATCACAGGGGCTCCGTCAGCTCTGACCAAGACAGGTCCTGCTGCAGCCACCCCTGCAGCCTTGTTGTGCTCAGGAAAAAAGGTCTCAGGCTGTGCCAGGGGAGGGTCAGCTTGGACAACAGGAGGAATTTCTTCCTGGAAAGGGTTGTCAGGAAGAAGGGAGCAGGGGCTGCCCAGGGAGGTGGTGGAGTCCCCACCCCTGGAGGTGTCCAAGGAAGGACTGGACATGGCCCTCAGTGCTCTGGGCTGGGGCACAAGGGGGAGATTGGGCACAGGGGGGACTCGATGATCTCAGAGGCCTTTTCCACCCTAAATGATTCTGTGATTCAGTCTCAGGGGAGCATGAACCCACTTTCCCCACTGGAAAGTTGACACTGCCCTCAGTCTTCAGAGGTGTGACCTGGTGTTGGGGTGACCTGACCAATGTCACCAGGAGCTGGCACTAACGGGGGGGTGGATGGGTGGGCACCACTGCCCTGCAGGACTTGCCCAAAGAAAAAGAAGAGCTCAGGGATCAGGGCAGCCCCTCCTCCAGGAGTGTGCAGAACCATGGCCACCACTCTGGCTATGGGGGGAGGTAAGAGCCTGGAGGACACGGATCCCTCTCAGCTCTGGAGCCACGTGTCTCTGGCCTTTTCAGAGCACAAACAAGCTGCCATTAATGTCCTGCCAGCTGCCCCTTCCAGCTCCTGGTATCACTCACATGAGTGACCAGCACCAGGTATTTCACCAGCCCTTTGAGGGAGGTGAATAAATTCATTTCTCTCCCCAGAAGAGGACTGGACACACACAGTATCTGGCTCATCAGCCCTGTGGAGAAACCTAAGGCCTCCCAAAAAGGGACTGACTTTGGAAGAAATGGTACACATGGGCAAATTCTAGTGAATTAAAAGGTCCTCAGCATCTGCATTGAAATGTTTGTCTAAGGACCAGAAAGAGCAATGAAATGAAGAACCTTTCTTTCCCAGCAGCTCTGGTGCTCCAGCCTTGGTTCTCTCAACCATGTCAGGGGCTTCCTGGGTCTCAGAGAGCAAGAGAACCTTCAGCCAGCAGAAGGAGCTGGTTTCCAGCAGCTGTGGTGGCTGGGGGCAGTGGCAGCACCCTTTGGGGCCACTTGGGCTGTGGGTGACCTGGGAGGTGAGTGCTCAAGGCAGCTGTGCCTGTCATACCCTGTCTGGCCTGAGTGGTTTGAGATTGCTTTTGGGCAAACAGGAGGTGAGTCTGCAGAGACACCCAAGTATTACCTGCTTTGGGTTAGAAACAAACCCCTTCTGGCCCAGCATCCGCAGAGGGGTGCTCCTCTGGCCACTGCTCTCTGTGCAATGCCCTGAGTCATGTCTGTGTTTAGGGAAGGGACTTCTGAAGTCTCTAATCCAAGCCCAAACTCTTCTAGAGCTGCACCTGCTCAGGTGTTTTTGGCTCTCATGGGAGGAAGCAACAGAGACGACAGTGGTTTGTTTGTAGGATCACAGCTCACTGCTCTGGTCACTGTGAATACAGTGGTGGTCCCTGCCCCAGACACCCCGCAGAGCTGGTCACCAATCCCATGGGCTACCTGGCCATCCCTTATTGCCTGTCATGAGCATTCCCCACCAAGGAAAGAGTCACCAACACTGGGGAGGGGCTGTGAAATCTGCCCGTCACAGCAAGATCAATTTTGAGGAGAACTTTGCCTATTTCTGTTGCACTTGAGGTAGAAGAACTGCAGAGATCTAAGGGGGAATCCCAGCACAGCCAGGACCCTCATCCAAGGGTTTGGAGAAACCAGCCACTGAAGATGAAGCAGCAAGTTCCTGCTGAGCAACTGCAGGTCACCAGCAGCAGCTTTCTGTGGATAAGGCAAAAGAAGGAATGGGGACAGTGACAGGGACCTCTTTAAATCACCAGGGAGAGATTCCTGCCCGTCTGACCTGCAGCTGAGTGGCCTCCCCTGTGTGCCTGGAAAAGACAAAGGAGCCTGTTGAACTTCAAAGGGAGTGATGTTATCTCAGCCCTTGGCACGTGACTGCCATCCAGGTGGTGATAACTGGGCATAATTTATTCAGGTAGAAATCCCTCTGCCCACTCCAACAACGCTTTGTTTGCTTTGTCCTGAATAACAAGCCCACTCGTGCCCTGGAAATGATGGTTCAGAACACATGTGCAGAGTTGCCAACCCTGGGCAATGACAAGAAGTTTCATCAGCTCAGATAAATATCCCTCCCCCTCCCCGGCAACAGGCCCTCGTGCTTCAAATGTCTCACCCCCCCTACCTGCCAACATTTGAACTCCAGAAATAGGGCCAGCTGGGAGGGGGACTGGGATGGGCACGGCCACCCACGAGATACCTGTCAGGCCAGGGCAGGCATTTGGAGGGAGCCTGGGGTGAGCAAACAGCTCAGCAGCAGCAGGACAGGGCTGGCTCTGGAAGGGTGGGCAGCCTGTGGGTCACTGAGCAGCCCAGAGCCCCCTCTGGAGCAGAAGGAGTTTCTCCAGCTCTCCCACCACCTCTGGAGCTCTCCAAGGCCTGCAGCAAGGCTCCAGTGGAGACTCCACCTCCCTGCAGCAGGTTCAGGAGCTTCAGGAGTGGACACTCACTGATGTTGGTGTCAGCCTTCCCATCACCTACCAGCACTTCCCAGTAACCCACCAGTATCTTCCAGTGCTGCACCAGATACTTGCTGACCCTTCTCCCTGCACAAAGGCTGCTCTGGGTGGTGTGTGATTCCCAGCAGTGCAGAACACCCACGTTTCCACAGAAAGGGCAAACACTTCCCTCCACAGAGTTTTCTCACACCTACAGCCAGGGGCTGAATCTTGCTCTGCATCACACTGAGTCCAAAACAGCAACGCAGGGAAACAGGATCTTGGGGTCTTTCCCACTGCTCATGGGACCATTTGTTCTGCAGAGCCAGAAGTTCAGAACCATCCAGCATGGCCTTGGTGACATGGAGGCACTCAGGTGTGGTGTGTCACACCCACACAGGCCACTCCTGACAAAAAGTACCTCTTGGAACCCACTCTCGGAATAATCCTGCCCAGCAAAAAGCCAGCACAGCAGAAATGCAGAGCAGCTTCTGTCCCCAGGCCCTCCTTTATCTTCCCCTCCAGGGAGAAGTTTCTTTGAGAAGTGACTCTGATATAAATATCTCACAGGTGAGTGTCAGAGGATGGTGCCAGACTCTGTTCAGTGTGGCCAATGACAGGATGAAGAGCAGTGGCCATACACTAAAACACAAGAAGTTCCACCTCAACATGAGGAAGAACTTCTTCCCATGGAAGATGGCAGAGCCCTGGAACAGCTGCCCAGGGAGGGCGTGGACTCTCCCTCTCTGGAAACATCCCAAACCCACCTGGATACATTCCTGTGTCACCTGCTCCTGCTTGGCAGAGGGGTTGGACTGGATGATCTCCAGAGGTCCCTTCCAACCATAATGGTTCTGGAATGCTGTGATTCTGGAATGGCTCTTTGTTTAGTGTGGAATAACCCGTATCCAATCAGGGCCTGCTTGCTGGAGAAGCTGTTAATTGCCTCCTGTAGTGTTCTGTCAGCAACATTATCCCCTCCTGCCCTGCTGAGACCAGGATGAGGGATTGTCCTGCTCTGTGGCTGCAGTGGGATACGGAGAAGGGGAGGGTGAAACATAATCTGAGAAATAATATCTACGGCAGCAAGCGATGCTAATCAAAAAATCGTGAGGGAAGCAGGATTCCAAGGAGGGAGGAATGCTGGGGGAGGAAAAGCACGGACATCTCTTGACAAAGGTCCAGGATCAGTTTGAAAGGGCCCAAGAAATTCTATTTTAGCATCTATTTTTAATACAAGCCCCATGTATGAGGAGAGCACCGCCCGCCACGCCGCGATCTCATTACTGCCCAGATTAGCAACAAAAAGATTAATTTAGACAGGATGGAATAATTTCGAACAAAAGTGTCACTGCCTTCTGGGGAGCAAGGCTGACCCGAAAAGATCACGTACGGGGAAACCCCACACCACAGGCAATCCCTCCTGGAGAGGAGTCCCCCAGCTGGAAACACAACAGTTTGGGCTCATTTCAGCACAGCTGGGGTGACACCAATGATGTCAGATGACTGTAATATGTCTCTTTAATTGATCATAAATACATGTATTTCAACACAGCTGACAACAAAAGCTGTGGAGACAGCCCTCAGAAGCTTCCCACTTGCCTGTCCTTTGTTTTCCTGGCTTACATTTTAATTCCTCCAAGTCATACAGAAATAAAGGCTTGTGCTCATTCTCTGTCCCTTTTCCAAGAGCTGCAAACCCCCCTGACAAACCCCCAGCTCTCTCCAGGGCTGGGTCATGCAGCAGATGATGAGCTATTGTAGCTGGAGTCTCCATGGATCTCCTCCTCCTCGAGGTCAGCTCTGCAGGGAGAGGCAAAACTCCCCTCACACTGCTGGATATCCAGGGATGGCCCCTCTGGGGCCTCCAAATTAAAGGCTGATGGCAGAGCTGAGAAGGCACAACAACATTTGGGTTGCACTGAGGCAACTTGCCCAATTATTAACATTTTTGTGTTCTCTTCTTTGCCAGAGAAACTGAGCTTTTACTGGCACTGAAAATCACCTCCTCCAAACACAACTGAGTCATTTCTCCAAGTTGCTATCAACATTTCTGCAGAGCACCCTGCTCCAAAGGAGCCAAACACAGGTGGGATCCTGTAACCACAGCCCCCTCCCAGTCCTACCAGCCCTTTGACACAAAGAAATTCATCCTGCCCAGGGGCCTCCCCACAAACCCCTCCATCCTTTCCAAAACAGAGCAGCTGCTTAGCACTGGCTCAGCACAGCAGGTCAGCAGATGATGAATTCTGTATCTACTTGGGAATTTTTGGGGAAGCACAAGCCCAGCTGTGCAAGCTGGAAGAGGGCTGAGACATGTGGTCCAATGCTGCACTGAGCAACCCTTCCAAACCATGGGGGCTTGGCTACAAACTGCCTCCAAGGCAGTGACCTCTGGTAGGAGAGACTTCCTTGATCTCACGTGGAGAATTCTCCCCCACTGTTCCTGCTGTTGGAAAGCAGTGAATGAGTTCCTTGTTTTGCTTTGTTTGAGTGCAGGGCTTCTGCTTTACTGATTAAACTGATTTATCTCAACACACAAGTTATCTCACTTTTACTCTTCTGATTCTCCCCCCATCCCACTGCAGGGGAGTGAGGGAGTGAGTGAGTGTGGGGCTGAGCTGCCAGCTGGGGTTAAACCAGGACAGCCACTTGGAAGCAGGAGGGATCCCTGACCACCAGCCCAGCTCAACAGCTCCGAGCTGACCAGGCTGAAGGAGCAGATCCCAGTGTGAGTTGGGCTGGGATCACTGCAGCCCTCCTGCATGACCATAGAAGGTAAAACCGAGCCCCGGCAGGCCCGAGGCCAAAAATACACTTAAGGCATAAATGTTCTGGTGTTTCATGCAACTCCATCAAAAATCTTAGAAAAAACTTATTTTTGGCTGAATCAGGTGTCAGTGAAAGGAGTGCCAACTGCAGTGCTCCTCTGCCAAGGCAGGAGGGGACAGACTGCCAGGGACACCCACGGGGTGCAGAGCGGGGGAGTCGCCAGAGGCTCAGTCTCACAAACAGGATCCACCACAACCCGCCTGTTTTATCCCTTCCCCTCTTCCCCCACACCCCACATTTGTGGGAAGACAGCAGGAAGGGTGTCACTGGTGCTTCACAGACGTCTACACATCCAAAAGGGCTCTGTCTCTGCTGTAGGCAGTGCTCTGCACCACTGTCTTGGAGGGTGACAAACATTTTGGGGCTGGCTCTGTGAAGTGTCCATCTCCCCCAGCTCTGTCAGTGTGTCCCCTGCCCATTCCAGTGGAGTAACCTCCATCCCAGGAGGCTGCTGCTCAAGCTCCCATGTAGTTCAGCAGGGTTGCACCACCACAACAGGCTCCCAAGCTCCAGGACAGAGCATTGGCTCTTGAAAAAATACCTCTGGCACCAGAGAATTCCCTTTTCCCTCTAATGAGGCCTCTGTTTACTTGGGAAAGCCCAGAGAGCTCAGACAGAGGGCAGCAGTGTGGGCCCATGGCCAGAGCAGTGCCCTGGGCTGCAGCCACTGTCTCCCCTGGGCTCTGCACTGCAGGGGCTTGGCTGGACTCAGACAAGGCCTCTCTCCTCAGCTGTCCTGTTTCACAGAATCCCAGAACCAGCTGGCTTGGAGAAGATCTCTGAGATCATGGAGTCCAACCTTTGACCAAACACCATGGTGTCAACTAGACCAGAGCACTGAGAGCCACGTCCATCTTAAACACCTCCAGGGACAGTGACTCCACCACCTCCCTGGGCAGCCTGTTCCAACATCTAATCACCCCTCCTGTGAATAAATTCTTCCTAATGTCCAACCTAAACCTCCCGTGGCACATAATTTGTGATTATTTAGATCAGCAATGGTCTCCAATTTAGGGGCAGAAGCAGCCTATGAAATGGTTAAACACAACTAAGGTGGAGAAGCACAAGTGGAGCCCTTTGGGGCATCAGCCATGTCTGGGTTGTTTTCCCCTCACCCTCCCCAGACAGCCCAGGTCTCCTCACCATCACAACTCCACTGCTGCCCAGCTGTGAGCCACAAACCCAACACCAAACTCCATGGTCCAGATCTCCCCTCCCATGGCTGGTACGTTAGTGGTTGCTCTGTTCCCATCCCTGGGGAGGTCACGGTTGACAGAGGGTCCTTCACAACACCAGCCTGTCTGTGCATGACCCAAGGACACACAGTGACACTGTGACACGCACGGTGACACCGGATCTCCCAGGTTATCAGAGTCCAGCGTGCTGGGAGAGCCACATCTCCTGTCAACTCCCACGCGCACACCAGCTGCTCCTGCCTGTGACTGACAGGGTTTGTTGTGCTCACAAATCTCCATCAGGCCTCTGCACGGCTTTTTAAGACCATCAGGTCTTTCATGTTGGGAGGAGCCCTCAAGAACTCACCCTCACAAGCAGGTCTTGTGATCCTCACAAGCTCTTCAGCCACCCTCACAGCACTGCTGAGGACCATTCGACTGAGGAAACTGAGGCACAACACCAGAAACCACTTCCTTGGAGTGGTAAGGGAGCTGACAGCAAACAGAGGAGGAGAATTGCTGTTCCTTGGCCTAACCAACCACTCTGCACAAGGAAGAGCCCTGTAGGTTGGCCCAGTGCCCAAGCACCTTCGAATCTTCTCTTGTCCGTTTACAGTTCTCAAAGCATTTCATTTTGCTCTTAATACAAAGACCAGATCATCTTGTTGCAGGTGAAGAATGAAATGTCTCCTCCCTGAATTATAGGATGCTTTTATAACGGCGGGATGTATTTCTAGAACATTTACAAGTCAATCTGTGAGTTCACAATTTAAAATAAATTGCCCTTGAGATCCGTGGCAGGTGATGTGAGCCCAGCGCTGCGCCGGAAGGAGGTTTGCAGTGCTGTCACCCACACCCGTGTCCACAGGGAACAAGGACAAGCTGTTCCTGTGTGTCCTCAGCCTTGTTAACAAAAATGCCACCTGTCCTTCAGGCACTGACACCACGAGTGCCAGCGAGGCCTCATTCCGTGGGTCAGGGGACAGGGACAGCTCAGGGCATTAACAGCGACGCCTGACGTCCTTCCCCTCTTTTGCACGTTTGTGTTTCTTTGTTTCCTGGGCTGATCTCCGATTCCCTTTCCCTCCATGCCACAGGAATTGTGTTTGGCCTCTATTCCCACTGGCCCATGGGAGGCTCCTCTGAGGCACCTCTCACCTGTCTGCTGCCAACAAAGGCAGGAATGGGGAACCAACAGCTCCACGGTGCCATTGCTGACCCCGAGGTCTCCAAAGCAGGATGAAGCCTCTTGCCAGAGGGCTGTGTTAGCTCCAGATCCCTGCAGGGCAGCAGCTAAAGTTAACCCAAATTACTGGGAATTCAGGAAGGGTTCGGGACCCACTACTGGAAAGGTTTTTGAAGGGACCTGCATTAGACACCCTGAGAAATTCAGGAAACACAAAACACTTGGGAATGAGCACAAAGCTGAGCAACAGCTTTTGGAGAAATAAAGCAGCAAATCCTGCTCCCTCCAGGCAAACTCTCTTTTGCCGCTGCTGCTGGGCTTTAAAAACAGTGACTTCCAGAAGATAACTGAGCCTGCTGCATCCCAGTTATCTGGGACAGGCAAAAAGGCTTCTGGGCAGGGAGAAAGCCAGCAAGGAAGGGACCAGGAAATGGTCTCCTGGAGGTGTGTGTGAGTTCTCCCTCCCATCACTATGCAGGAAATGCACATCCAGCTCACCCTCCCATCCAAGGAATCGGAAACCAGTCTCTTGGAAAAGGGACTTGAACTGAAATGCAACTTTCAAGCTCATCTTGTTGCTGGCTGGGTCTGTTTTTAAGGCACTCACCTAAGAAACCTGATCCCTGCCCGTGGTCTCTCAGCTGCCTGGGCCATTCCTTTGCCTCCTCCAAGGGCATTTTCCAGTGTCTTGTCACCAGTTCAGCTGCTTCCTCCAGGTGTCAATCCAGCCTCCTCCAGCCCCACAAGGAGCAGTGGGATGTACCTTTGGGCTGCAAGAGAACACAGAAGAACAGATTGCTGTGACAACAGGCATGTCAGAGGAGATAAAAATACCTCCTCACTAGTCTGGTGAAAGTCAGTAACAGAAAATCCCTGTGGTCATGTGGCTTTTAAACCTGCACAAACTCAGCCCTGTCCCAGCACTGACTGTGCCTGGCCAGGCCCAGGGCTCTGCTCGGAAGGGACATCTCTGAGTTAGCACCAAAGAGCTTCTTCCGCTTGGCAACGCTGGAGTAGGAGGAAGGAATTAGGGGCCCTTTGTGCATCTAATACCCAGGATTATTCCCATGGAATATTTCCTTGGATCAGTCCAGCTGACTTAGGCCACAGTCCCGTACAGGCTCCAGTGAGTGGGGAGGGAATGCAGCCGTGGCAGGGCTAGGATTTTACACATTACAGCAATGGGGTGAGAAAACTATTTACACCATTATTTACAAGAGCACGCAGTGACAGGACAAGGGGGGATGGTTTCCCACTGCCAGAGGGCAGGGTTAGATGGGATACTGGGGAGGAATTCTTTCCTGGGAGGGTGGGGAGGCCCTGGCACAAGTTGGTCAGAGGAGCTGTGGGTGGATCCCTAGAAGTGTCCAAGGCCAGGTTGGATGGGGCTTGGAGCAACCTGGGACAGTGGAAGGTGTCCCTGCCCATGGCAGGGGTGAAACAGGATGAGCTTTAAGGTCCCTTCCAACCCAAACCCTTCTGGGATTCTGTGAAAACACTTTTACATTGGCAATTCCCATACTGGCTGCATGGAGCAGTTTTAAAGCCTGGCAGCCTCCACAGCAAGTACATTCTACAAACCCTAAAACGAGCAGTCTCAATTATTTACTAATTTATAAAGTTAAAACTATCAGACAGACAGAACTATCTCCCAGACAACCGCTCCCCTCTGATTGACATGTATTTTTGGCTGAAGGTATCTCTCCAACTCCCTGACAGGAGCGGGGAGCTGGGGGGGGGTCAGGCTCTCTTCCCAGGGAACAAGGGACAGGAGGAGAGAAAACAGCCTCAAGCTGCAACAGGGGAGGTTCAGCTTGGACATCAGGAGGAATTTCTTCCTGGAAAGGGTTGTTAAACTTAGGAAGGGGCTGCCCAGGAAGATGGTGGAGTCCCCATCCCTGGAGGTGTCCAAGGAATGACTGGACATGGCACTCAGTGCTCTGGGCTGTTTGACAAGGTAGGGATTGGTCACAGGTTGGACTCGATGAAATTGGAGGTCTTTTCCAACCTAATTGATTCTGTTTCTAGAGGTTAAACCAGAAGTTTGGGTCCCTTTTTCTATCGGTGGATTTTTTTACCTGAAAAAGAATTAAATCCCGGCTTTATCCAGTGTCACAGAACAGGTAAATCTGCACCAGGTAAACCAGCAAAATGCCAGAGAATCACCTCGACCCCTCCAGCAGCAGAGTGGAGCCTCACAGGGAGCCGCCACTGGAGCAGGTCCAAGGATGAGGGTATTTGCACACCTGAAAGGTGCAGACACAGAAAATGGGGTAAAATTGAGATACTTCTAGAGCCAGATCTCTCAGAAATGTTCTCTTTGGGCAAACACAAGACCCCATGGCCTTGGAAAGGCTCAGCATTTCTTTTGGAACAAGGACAGGACAAAATGAGTCACTGGTCTCTAATACAAGAGCTGGATGGCAGGACTGCAGCCTTTGAGCCTGGAGGATCACCAATATCATCTATAAGCGTAGATGAGCCAAAAACATAACCAAGGGCACCACTGCAGCCCGGGATCTCCTCTCTGATGGGCACAGCAGCACCGCCGGTGTGAGGGGAGAGCAGCGGCTGAGGGGGAACGGGGTGTGAGGGGAGAACGGGGTGTGAGGGGGGAATGGGGCTGTGAGAGGAAATGGGGCTGTGAGGGGGGAATGGGGCTGAGAGGGAAAATGGGGCTGTGAGGTGAGAGCAGAGTGAGAGGGGAGAGCACCAGTCTGTGAGGGGGAACGGGGCTATGAGGAGAGAACAGGGTGTGAGGGGAGAATGGGATGTGAGGGGAGAGCAGTGGCTGAGGGGGAATGAATCTGTGAGGGGAGAACGGGGTGTGAGGGGAGAGCCCGAGGCTGTGAGGGGAGACTGGGGCCGTGACGGAAAAGCGGGCTGTGACGGCAGAGCGGGGCTGTGAGGGGGAAGCAGGGATGTGAGAGAGAAGCAAAGCTGTGAGGGGAGAGCAGTGGCTGAGGGGAAAACGGGGCTGCGAGAGGGAACGAGGCTGTGAAGGAAAATGGGTCTTTGAGGGGAGAGCGAGGCTGTCCCTCGGCTCAACCCCAGAACGGGGCGGCCCAGCCCCACGACGGGAGCCCAGTGGGAGCTGCCCGCGCCACGTCCGCCGAACAACGCCCGGCCACGGCAATGCCGCCCGGGCACCCCTTGAGCCGCAACACTCCGCGCCCTCCCGCTCCCCCGTCCCCTCAGCTCTGCGGGGCGCGAATGGGGCGCGCACCCACCCTCAGCACCCGGCCCTGTCCTCTGCCTTCCTATTGGCCACGGGTGCTGCCTGTCACTGAGCGTCACTCGCGGCAGCCAATGGGCTCCCAGGGAGCGGGGCGGGGGCGGGGCTCGCAGGGCGGGGCCGGGGGCTGTGGCGGCGGCGCGGGCCCGTGTGAGGGGCAGGTACGGCCGGGGGGCCGCGGGGCCGCGCTCGGGCGGGCTGAGGGGCACCGGCCCCTCACGGCCCCGCTCCGCGTCACCCCCCGGGGCTGCGGGGCAGCTCGGTCAGGGGGGCGGCCTGGATCACCGCAGGCATCCCGGGAGGCCGGGCTGTGGGAGCCCCTGGAGGCTGAGCATCCGCGGGCCTTCGGCGGGAACTGAGGGGAACCCGGTCGGTGTCGGGGGTGGTTCGAGCACAGATGGTGCAAAAGGGGGTCGGATCCATCGCAGTCTTAGAAGGGCTCCGGTTGATTTTCACAGAATCATCCCAGAGTGGTTCGGGTTGGGAGGGACCCTAAAGCTCATCCAGTGCCACCCCCTGCCCTGGGCAGGGACCCTTCCATAGACCAAGTTGCTCCAAGCCCCGTCCAACCTGGCCCTGGACACTCCCAGGGATGGGGATGTTCAGGGTGAGGAGGTAACTGGGAGAAGGAGCACGGGGTGGGTGTGTGTGAGCATCATTCTAGGGGTTCATTCCTGGGGGCTGCCACGCTCAGTTACAGCCCCAGGACCTTCACCTTCACCTTAACCACCCATCTCCTTTTGGGCAGATCCTTTTGGACAGACGGCTGCTGTGGGCTGGGCTCATTGTCTGGAACACGGTAGCTTTAAGGCACGTGTGCACGTGCCCCTTTGCTGTCAGAGTCAGAAAGAACCACAGATAAATTATCCTTTGTGTGGCTGCGGGTGTTTTACAGTTCACGGTGGGTGGACTCTGTCCAGGTGCCATTCTGAGTTTTTATTTAGGGTAGAACAGATCACGTGTTTTCCCCTGCTTTTGTTAAAATGGCATTTATGAGTTGACCAGATGTTCTGAATTCAATTGAGAGGCTAAAACTCAATTGCAGGCACCCGCCCCACTGTTGAGTTAAAAATTCAAACCAAAGTGCAAACCCACGGACAGTGGGGGATGTGCAGCTCAGCTCAGTCCTGTTCCCCACATTTGTGATGAGGACCTGAACTCTGACATGCAGGGGAGTCTGCCAGGAAAGGACTACTGTTTGAGGAGATTGCTGAAACTCTGGTGCAAAGGGTTAATAAATCCTGGGCCGAGGAGATAGGACTGGAATGCATTTTGGTGGGTTTTGGCAGGCCAGCTTGTTACAAGTGGCTGGTGTTTTGTTTAGATAAAGAAGAAAGGAACGTGGTGTTGGTATTCCATTATGTGAGTTTATAATGTTGTTAAAGATAAAGCAAAGAATATTGCAGTGATGTAAATCCCAATGGAATCAACATCAGGTGATGGAGTAGAAGTACCTGGAGTGAGCTGTGGGATTAATGTGGAGCTGATTACTGAAGGTGTAAATTCCCTTCCCTGAGGAAAGCTCTGCTGAAGTGGCTTTTCTGAGCTGTCCCAAGGTCCCCAAGACCTGCTCCTCCTTTTCTGCCCCTGAGGGTGAACACCAGCCTAATCAAGGCCAGCTTGGCCTTGTGCAGAGAAATTAATATTCTTATGGACTTGTGCAAACACACATCTCTGGAACAACTTTATCCTTGCACATGGGGGCTGGAACAAGATGATCCTTAAGGTCCCTTCCAACCCAAACCATTCTGAGGTTCTGAATTTATCAAGCTGCCAGCTTGGAATAATTGTAAAATCAGGATTTTACTGAACAGGTATCTTGGGCTAAAGGAGGTTTAGGAATCAGTTTGGAATACTTAGGAATATTCCACCCCTTTCCCATGGCTTGTGGCTCATGACAGGCAAATACACTGGTTCCTTCAGCAGCAAAACTTTTGAGTATCAGAAGATGAGTGATTTAACTTTCATGACACAAAAGTTTATTTAACTTTATGACAGCAGTGAGGCCCCAGTGTGCTGCAAGGTCACTCTTGCTCCGTGGTTTTCCTGGTTTTGTATCTTTAGGTCACTCTTGCTCCGTGGTTTTCCTGCTTCTGTATTTTTTACTGAGCACAACTGTCAGCAGCAAAATACCTGTTGCAGGGCTCCACAGCAGTAAGAGAGGGGGTTTTGTGCAGGTCAAATTGTGAGGAAATCAGGGATGTTTTTGCAGGGCTGGGGTAGTTTGGATGTGTGTTTGTAGGGGGTGTGGAAGCTCTTCAGATAGGAGTGTTTTTTGGGATCTGTGTAAAGTGTTCCCAGGAGTTTCTGGCTGGCATCAGCTGTGATTCAGGGATAAAATCCTCCTTCCTGGGCAACACTGAGGCGAGTGGGCCAAAAAAAGAGCTCTGACTCCCTCGTTGTGGCTGCGTTCAGATGAGATCCTCCATCCTGGATGTGAGTTTTTGTTCCCTCAGGCTCCCACGATGTTTGCCCAGTGCTCCCGGAATTCCCTGAGCCCCGTGGTGCTGCTGGTGCTGCTGGGCTGCCTCCTGTGCCCCCCAGCACAGGCCAGCAAGGTGGGTGACAGCGTTGGGCACCGGGTGGGAGGGGCACAGCAGAGCCAGAATGGCAGAGGAGCAGCTGGGGATGTTTGCAAAGATAAGGAATGATTTGTGATGTGTTTACTGTGTAGGGCTGGGGCTGTGTGTGACAGTGGCCCCTGCCCTGCCTTCTGCTGGGCTTTGGAGTTTGCATTTTAAAATGTGTTTGAAAAGCACCTGGCTGGAGGTGCTGGACGTGGCCGAGGTGCTCTGGGCCATGTTAAACCTGGGAAGGTGCTGATGTCAAAGTGCAGGAAGAAGGGAAGTGGGGGGAGGTGTTCTCTGGGGTGGAGTGTTCTCTGTCCCAGAGGACGTTCAGCCTGTCCCCAGCCCGGGGTGGTGAGGGTGGCAGAACTGGGGGTTCCCTCCCTCACTGGCTCCTCTGCCCCCGCAGAGCTCCGAGGACATTCGCTGCAAGTGCATCTGCCCCCCGTACCGGAACATCAGCGGGCACATCTACAACAAGAATGTGTCCCAGAAGGACTGGTGAGTTGGGCTGGAAGCCTGAGGGCTCAGCCCATGAGAGCCACCAACGCTGCAGAGTTGGCAGCTGGTGCCAAGGCAGCGATTCCCTGCCTGTGTGTTTGCAGAGGGAGCTGTGGTAGGTGATGTTCAACCCAGGCCAGGGGCAGTTTTTAAACAGAAATTGAGGAATCTGGGATGATTTCTTAACCCATGGCTCTTGGCAGGTGTAAAGTGTACCCTCCAGTCCCCCTCACCTGGACAGGATCCCTGCAAAAGGCACTTGGACAGTCTGTCCCAGGACTTGCTGGAACTAGCTGAGCTGTGAGGGGAGCTCCTAAAACCAGATCGGCGTTATCAGCCTGCAGGGAAAGCTGGGACACACAAAAGTGTCACCCCAATGTCCTTCCACAGAGCACTGGTTTCACCTTCACCTTGTCCTGCTGCTGATGTTGGTTTGTTTGTGCTGCAGCAACTGCCTGCACGTGGTGGAGCCCATGCCAGTGCCTGGGAACGACGTGGAGGCCTATTGCCTGCTCTGCGAGTGCAAGTACGAGGAGCGCAGCACCACCACCATCAAGGTAAGGGCAGCTCTGTCCCCGGGCCTGGCTCCTTCTCCTGGCCAGGCCATGCCAGCCCAGGCACTGCTGCACTGCTGGGTTCCTGCAGAAGAGCCCAGAAAGAGCAAATCCAACTGTCACAGTGGGTACACTGTGGCAGTGCCAGGAGCTCACTCTCAACAGCTCCCTGGAAGGAGGTTGGAGCCAGGTGGGGATTGGACTCTGCACCCAGACAACCAGTGACAGGACAAGAGGACACAGTCTTAAGCTGCACCGGAGAGGTTTAGGTTGGACATTAGGAAGAAATTCTTCACAGAAAGGGTGATTACATATTGGAAAGGGCTGCCCAGGGAGGTGGTGGAGTCACTGTCCTTGGAGGTGTCCGAGGAATGACTGGACATGGCACTCAGTGCTCTGGGCTGGGTGACAAGGTGGGGATCGGTCACAGGTTGGACTTGATGATCTCAGAGGTCTTTTCTCACCTAACTGGCTCTGTGATTTCTGTGTCTGAGTCAGGAATGCTCCTGGCTGTGAGGAGCTGCAAGAAGAGTCTTCTTGCTGGGGATGTGTGACAGTGCCCAGCACCTCTGAGCAGGGACCCATCTCTTGGTGTCCTCTGACGTGCAGCACGTGCCCTGAGCTGGCCCAGTGAGGAGGGTCAGCACAGCCTGTGCAGTGACAGCACATCGGCAGCCCCTGGCAAGGGCAGGAGACCTTCCTGGGAGCAAAACGAGAACGAGAGAAGAGATCAAACACCAGAGGCAGCTGCAAAGGACCTTGTGACCTCTGTGGTGCTTCTTCCCCACGGTGCTGATCCTTTCCCATGTGCTCCTCTCCAGGTGATCATCATCATCTACCTGTCGGTGGTGGGGGCCCTGCTGCTCTACATGGCCTTCCTGGTGCTCGTGGACCCCCTGATCCGCAAGCCCGACCCCTACACCCACCCCCTGCACAACGAGGAGGAGAGCGAGGTGAGGCTGCGGGGGCACCGGGGGGGCTCTGCTCCTGGGGCAGACAGGGGACAGGAGAGTGGGGGACAGGGAAACAGTGACCTCCTGTCTGATCCAGGGAGGGACCAGCACTGCTGCTTTGGGGGCACCCACACAGGGGAACTCTTCGATCAGATCTGTGCAAGTCCTGCGGAAGCACAGGGAATAATCAAAGTTCTGACCTTAAAAGCTCCCCAAGTTCTACCCCTAACCCTGACCCTGTCCTCTGTGGCAGGGGGTGACGTTGTCCCAAGTGGCCTGACTTTGGTCTGTCTGTCCAGATGGAACCAAAACTCAAATGGATTCTATTTGTGCAGCGTCCCAGGTGGAGTCACTTGGTGCTGAGCTTCCAGGGAAGGATGGGCTTAAGTATTTGCTGGAACATCTTATAGACACGTCAAAGAGCAACCTCGAGGGGCTGTTTGACCCTGCTCTGGGGCTGGTCCCTCTTGTAGCCAGGCTGTTGGTCCTTGTGTTTCTGCCCAGAGCAGAATTTCATTCAAATCCCATCTTCCTGGGGGACACTGGCATACAAAGCTTGGTCAGAAAGATCAGGACTTAGCAGCAAAGAGACCCTCTGTGTCTCTCTCTCACACACACACACTTTGGGGGAGGACAAATTTCTTGCTGCATGAAATTCCTGCAATTTTAGCACTGGATCAGACTGTCCTGTTTATATTTTGTTTTAAGTATAAACTATTTGGCTCAATTCTTTCACACTGTGATCTGAGTGAGGAGTAGCTGCTCCAGTGTGCCCAGTCCCTCCATTACCACCCTCTGCTGAAAAAGGAGGTCCTGCAGGAGGAGATGAACTGTATCCTAGAATTGTGGGTTCGCTCCGTGCACCACAGCAACGATTCAGAGTTAGATCTGGGTGCACTCTGTAAATGGCTGGTGTCAGGTGAGGTTTATCTTAGTCCAGCGTGCTGGATTCATTCAGGTGCACTCTGTAAACACCTGGTGTCAGGTGAGGTTTATCTTAGTCCAGCATGCTGGCTTCATCCAGGTGCACTCTGTAAACACCTGGTGTTAGGTGAGGTTTATCTTAGTGCTGGGTTCTGGGACAGGCCTTGGTGCTCGTGTGCCACGACGGATGCCCATCCACAGCAGCAGTGTCTGGCTCAGTGTCAGGGGGTGCTGTGGTTCACTGTGGCTCCTTGCAGACCCCAAGCAGTGGATTTCCAGCAGAGCTTTAGACTTGGTGCAGTTCCTCTCCTGGGGTCTTTTATTTGGGTGGTCCAAATAAAGCAAGGTCCAAATGAGCAAGGAGCTGGGGAGCTGGTGTGGAGGAGCTCTGGAAAGGTGGTTCTTCCTCAGGACAGCTCAAGCCTTGAGTTGCTCTTTCAGTTGTGTTTTCTCCCTGAGCCAGCTGCCTCCCTCTCCCGGGCTGGGCATTCCCAGCTTCCCACACTGCTCCTTTCCCTGCAGGACACTCGCTCCTTGGCCGCAGTGCCCACCCCGGCCGGAGCCAGAGCCAACACGGTGCTGGAGCGCGTGGAGGGGGCCCAGCAGCGCTGGAAGAGGCAGGTGCAGGAGCAGAGGAAGACGGTGTTTGACCGGCACAAGATGCTGAGTTAGATCCCCGTGGGCCCTCGGCATCGCTTCCCAGGACACGGGGCAGCTCCTGGAGCAGCCGCACAGGGATCACCGTCGGGACACCGCGGTGTTGGACTGAAAGCTCGAACCCTTCCCTGATTCACTGTCTCCATCAGCCCCAAATGCCTCCCCTGGTTCTGCCCCCTGCCCTTCCCCTCGCAGAGCCCAGAGGCTCCTTCCCCTGCCCGGCTGATCCTGGGGCTGCGTGAGGAAGCCCCGGACTCCTGGGGCTCCATCAGCCCCCCCACATCAGACAGGGATCTCAGCACGGAGCGCTGGGAGCTGGCTGAGTCTTCCTCAGATACAAACAGTGGGGTAATTTTGATGTGGGATAAATTATGTGATGCTCCTCCAGGATGAAGCAGCCACCTCTTCCTCCTCTTCCTCCGGCGTGCACTGATGTTAACTGGGCATTGTGGTGCACGTGTGCAGCACTGGGAGGGAGAGGAGGGGGTTCCTGCCAGCTGCTGCTTCCCCTTATCCTGGTGTAAATGGAGAGATTTCCACACCCCAGTGAAGTCTGTCCAGGTTTACACGGGCACAAGCGAGGCTGCAGCTTGTTTCTGTGCAGGTGAACATCACCAACCCAATTAGTACCTGCACCAGGAGGAGTCCAGCAGGTGAAACCAGCTGATTTACATTTATATCTTTTCATTCTTTAGCAGTGGGTAAAAACCTCCCGGGGAGAAACCTTTCCGTTTGTGCCCATGCTGGTGACCCTTGGTGCTCTCCCAGTGAGGGCAGAGCATTTGTGTCCAAGAGAACCAGGGCAAAGGCTCTCCTGGAGCACTGGAAACACTTGTCTGGGCCTTGGGGCCCTGGGGAGGGGACACTTGTGCGACTCAAAGCACTCTGAGAGCTCTGGCCGGACTTGGGCTGTGTGGAGGAAACCAAAGTGATTCTGTGATGTGCACACTGAGAACATTTGGAATGTCAGGAGGTGCTGGAGTTCATCGTGTAGCATCTCTCTATTAAATGCAGACTAAGATCCACTACCTGGGTGGCTTTTTTTCAGGGAAAAAGTCCCCTCATGCCAGGTCTGGGGCTCTCCAGTGCCTTACAGTGCCTGGCAGGTGAGTTGATGCCACTCGAGCCAGAGCTGTGGTTATGGCACCCGGGTGTTTGGGCACTGCAGGTGTGTCCCTGGGTTGGAAAAGACCCTCTGAGATCATCCATTCCACTCTGTGACCACGATGATGACCCTGCCAGACAAACCCAAACAGAAGCTTCTGGGGGCCTGTGTGTTCCCCAGTTGCCCTCCAGCCCTTCACTGGGCTGAAAAGGACCCTGAGTTCCACGTTATCCTGAGGTCACATTTTCCTTGACCCGTCCTTGTTCCCTGGAGCTCAGTTCTGGACCTTTCTCCCCCTTGTAGAAACCCCATCTTGCTTGTCCTTCCCTCCAGGTGGGAATCCCTCATTGACACAGGGTGTGGTCCCTGGGAACTGATTTCTTTCCTCCCTCGAGGGGGAACAAGCAGCCGGTGAGAGGCTGAGCCGGCACGATGGGTCCATCTGGTGGCCACCGCCCACCTCGGTCAGCACCGGGACCTGGGTGGTCACCAGTCAGGGGGTTTGGTGAGCAGCAGCCCCAGACTTTCCATGACCCCTCCCAGGAGCAGCTCGGAAATGGGATAGGAGGGGAGGAAAGAATGCAGTTAGCAATCAGGAGCTTGGGTGAGTTAGAAAACTTAGGGAAGGGACGATGTGGAGAGGCTGCAAAAAGTGCCAATGCCTGATTAATTACTTGATTTGTTAATTAATTGATCAGCTTCGTCCTGTACATCATCCTCCCTGGGAGGAAATGTTTTCTACTGCCCAGCCTCTTCCCCTCCCTGTACCCCCTCCGTTGCTCGCTGGGGCATCCCCCGAGTGGGCACATCCTGGTGGGCCCTGCTCCTGGCCCCGTCCACATCCCACAGCAGTGCTTCCCATCCCTTGGCAGATGCCAGCAGGAGTCAATAATTTAATTCCTTATCAAAAAACGGGAACGAGAAAAATAAAGGACCTCTTGGAACAAAACCCAGCTGTGCCCTGACGGCCGTGCTCAGGTGCCCGCCGCGGTCCAGATGTCGATGCTCTGGATGATGAGCCACTCGCTCTGGGCCCGGGTTACCCGGATCCTCACACACTCCACGGGGCCGGGGAAGCCCCTCTCCAGCCCCCGCCGGTCCACGGTGCCCTTCTGGAAGGTTCCCACCGGGATGTAGGTGGAGCAGTCCCGGCCGTCGCGGCGGCGGTGCCGGCCCAGCTCCAGCACACCCGCGCGCAGGAAGTCGCCGCGGCGCTCCCGGGAGCCCGTGAGCACCCGCACGCGGCTGACGAGGGCCGGCTGCCGGAACACCACGGAGAAGACGCTGCCGGCTGCCGGGTCCTTCCCCCAGAAATAGCCCTCTGCCAAGCTGTAGGCCTTGAGGGGCTCGTAGTGCTCGAAGACGGCCATGCTGGTGTACAGGGACGCCGGAGGGTTGTCCGGAAGGTCCAAGGCGTCGGCCTGGAAATCGTCGTCCTCCAGCCGGTTGACGGTGCCCTGGAAGGAGGAGTAGAGGCCCATGTGCTGGAAGAGGGACGGCTTGAAGCGGATGACGTCCTTCTGGGCGAGCAGGTGGCGGAAGTGCACGAGCAGCCAGTCACAGGGCATCTCCTGGTAGAAGAGGAGGAGGAAGCGAGCCAGGCGAGGGAGGTCGCTGGAGCGGTAGAGCTTCCCGATGTAGCCCAGCTTGGAGAACTCCAGGGTGGCCCAGTTGGAGCCCTCGTGGGAGGCCAGAGCCTTGCGGATGGCTGTCAGGAAGGAGCGGGCACACCACACGTCGTCCTCGATCATCAGGTAGTAGGAGGAGAGGTTGGCGGCGAAGGCGAGCAGGAAGGCGTAGTCCACGTTCTGCTTGGAGCGGAACCTCACCCGCTCCTCGGGGTCGTTGAAGTTCCTCTTGAGCCCTTCCAGGGTGGGGTAGAGCTCGTGGGGGGCGTGGATGAGCAGCAGCCGGCCCAGGAGGATGTGGCGAGCGAACTTCTGGGCGATGCCGAGGGCGACGCGCGCGTTCCAGCCGGGATCGGCGTCGGCCAGGTGCACCACCACCACCACCTCCCGCAGCTCCTCCTCCGTGCACTGGCTGAACAGGGACTGCAGCGTGGCCGGCAGGTAGAAGCCGCGCGGCCGCCGCACCGATGCCAATCCCACCGCCAGGAATTCTGCACGGCAAAGGAAAGGCGTGACCTGGGATGCACCGTGGGGAGGTTCTTCCCTGCAGGCCACAAGGAGGGGGCTCCAAAAAGCTCTTCCCGTGGCCATCCCGCACCGTTAATGCTGTTTATAACCCCGTGTCCAAGGTGGAGGGTCCTTTCTGAGCTGAAGCCCCCACAGTGCCCCAGAAGGGGCCCAAATGTCAGGGAGAGGATGGGATGAGGCAGCAGGAGCTCCTCTGAAGGAGAAATACTTGGGAAAAACACCTTTAAAAAGCCAAACCTGGAGAAGTAACAGCACAGAGTCTACAGGGCAGGAATGGCTCGTTGGCTTGGCTGCACATCCTGGAAGTGTGCCCTGCCCTGAACCTCGTGGAGATGCCCCACACTGGATGAGACATCAGTGCTGCCCTCCCCACGGCCCAGCAGGGGTTCAGCTTCTCCTGCTGCTGCTCCGTGCAGCACCATCCACGGGCTGGTTCCAGCACAGCCTCGTGTGGGGCTGCCCTGAGCTCCCTCCCCTGGGGTTTGCGTGGGAGCTGCTTTCAGTGCCCCTGCCCAAGAGCCTGGCCCACATCTCCCACCCTGGGTGGGTGTCCCCATGGTCCAGCTCCCCCACCTCCACAAGAACCTCAACCCCAGGGAGGGGGGATCCCAGCCACCCTTCCCACAGAGGTCTGGGAAACCCAAAACGCCTGCGGTCACCCCAGTGCTGAGCAGTAGAAACATGGACCACACTTGGAGCACGTGGACCTTCCCCCACGCCTGCAGCCCCCAGAGTGGTGTTGGCAGATCCCCAGAGCCCCCCTGGGGTGTTGGCAGGTCCCCCACTCCGACAGGGTGGACACGGCCCCTCCCTGCCCCGGCAGCAGCAGTGATGGGTCTGTGCTGGGACAGATGTGCTGGGACAGACGTGCAGACCCAGAGCCCTGCTCGGGCTGGGCTCCCAACCACTCACTTTTCCGGGGTGCCAGGGAACCAGCCAGGACACGGTAGGAGACGTTGTGGAGCAGGGAGAGCTCGTCCATGTCCCTGAGGATGCGCTGGGCTCCGTCCGGCTGCAGCAGCTGCAGGATCATGTCGGGGGTCAGGCCCCTCAGATCCACCTGGGTGGGAGCCACAGGGAGCCAGGTCAGAGCCCGGAGCACCACGGACACACGGGAGCAAGGGGGAACGACAGCAGGGGTCCCAGAAGTGAGGGGGAACCCCTGTCCTGCCCTCCGAGCTCCTGGATCCAGGGAGGCCCCACTGCCCAGGGCAACTCCAGGGAGAGGAGAAGGCAGAGCTGAGGTCTGGGGGTGACGTGGTGCAGGGAAGGGAGCAGAGCTGGGGTTGGGGTCCACGTGGGGCAGGAAAGGACGGAGGATGCTCCAGTGGCCACTCCAGAGGGACATCAGTGGTTGGGAACTCACCTCCAGGGGATCCTGTTCCTGCTGGCTGCCCCCATGGAGGAGGAGGAGGAGGAGGAGGACGAAGGAGGCTGCGAGCACGGCGGTGAGGCAGCGCTTCAGGGAGCATCGCATCGCACTGGGCTGGCACTGCCGAGGGCTGTGGAGGAAGGGGCACGTCAGGGAATAGCCAAGGAAAACCCCCATCCCCTGGATGGGACCCTGGGGCAGCACCTGGATGAAGCCCTGGGACTGAGCCCTCTGCCCAGAGCACCCAGGGCTGCACACCCAGGGGCAGCCACGGGGCATCGGGGGGCACTTGTGCACGATCCCCTTCAGGCAGGTGGGGCAGGACACCCCAACTCAGCCAGGAAAACAATCAGCCAGGTACAAAATCCACCCCCCAGCCCAGCCCCACAACAGCCAGGCTGCCCTCAGACACCCCCTCAGCACCCCCAGAGCTGGAGGCAGAAGAAATGCAGGTGCCACGTGCCTTGGGGAGGCTTTTGGGTCATGGGGACACCCGTGGAGCAGCCACCAACACCTCGGGACCTGGCACTGCACCCTGGGAAACACTTGGGTCCCAAATGAGCCCGGGCTGCTCTTCCAGCACCACGAGGGTGAAGCAGCTCCCCCAGCCCCTCCTGCCCGTCCTGCTCCCCTCCTGCCTCCAGGCAGGCCCTGTCCCAGCCACATCCCCTGCTTGGAAGAACAAGAAAGGTGTCCCTGAGGGCACAGTGTCACCTTCAGGAAGTCATGGTGCCCTTGAGATATTTTACCCTGTGGCAGAGGCGTGGCAGGAGCCTAAAAGACTCCTGTGTTTGCCTGGTGATTTTCCAGTTTAAATATGACTGGGGCTGCCCTGGAACAGGAGAAGCTGGAGACCAACCCAGTGCCCGTCCTGGCAGGGCAGACACACTCAGCCCCGTCCAAACCGCTCACAGCACCTCAGTTTGTCTTGGTCAAAAGCATCTTTGAGTGCAAACGTGGAGGAAAAACCCTCCTAAACCTTCCCAAACCAAGGCTGGGCTTCCCAGGACTTCTCCCTAAACACCTCCCTGCATCCACTGGGATGCTCCCAGCCCACCCACAGGCCCCAGGCGGCAACACAGCACCTCTCTGGCACTGCCCCAGCATGTGCTGGGCTTATTTTAGGAGAACCCCCCCCGGTTTTCCTGCCCAGGAGTCCTCTGGGGGGTTGTCAGCACCCCGCCAGGCTGGTGCCAAGCAGGTGCCCCCATTGCCACAGGCAGCCTGTCCTTGTGCCACTGCCCTCATCCGCCTGGGAACATGGAGATGAATCTTTGGAGCCAGGGAGCCGCTCCCCCAGGGAGCAGCACAGCCCAGCCCGGCCGGGAGAGCAGAGGAGTCTCCTCCCCTGGGCTGGAACCCGGCTGGGGGCGAGCTTTTGGGAGCACTCGGAGGAACAACGAGCTCCTGGAGCTGCTTAAAACCTCTGTCCAGAGAGAGGGGAGCAAAACCTCTCCTTCCCCCCCCCAGTTCTGGGCCATGGGGAGCTCACCAGTTTCTGGGGGAGCAGCGTTAGGGACCCAGCTGAGCCGTGGGGACATCACTCCCTGCAGCCACCCTGGAGGTAGATTTCCAAGCCTGGACCCCTGGGATCTGAGCTGGGAAGGGCAGGGCTTGGTGGGCAGCACGGGCTGGGCGCTCGGTTACTCTGGGTGGCCAAAGGTTCTTCTGGCTGCTGGGGAGTGTCTGGCTGCCAAAGGCCCATCCTGGATGGAAAACATGGTGCTGCTCAGCACCTCCAGCTCCCACAGGCAGCAGCTCCCTCCGAGGGAGCCCATGGGGAACAGGGGTCGCAGGCAGCTCTGGCAGGGCAGGTTTAACAGAGGCAGGTAACGAACGCTGCCCCATAATTAGCCCCCTAATTGGGCTTTGGATTTTTGCCCCCATGGAGACACAAAGCAGCCCGCCTGGATGGAACAGCCAGGACACACCCACTGGGCGGGGGGGACTCCAGGGAGCATCTCTGTCCCTGCTCCTGTCCCAGCACCTCAGGCACCTTCCCCACAGCTCAGCACCCCACTGGGGACGTCCCCAGAAGCCACCCCACTGTGGGGACACTGGCCAGGAGGAGCTGGCTGCTGAGAGCCGCTCCCTGGAGCCAAACTCCTCTGCCGGGAGACTCCGGAGCCAAACGGGCCGTGTGCCGGAGCAGCCGTGATCGGTCCAGGGAGAGGGGAAGGGACTGAGGGCACACGAGGCTGTGAGGAAGGGCCGGATGATCCCGTGGGCAGGCGGCTCCAGCTGCTTCCGCTGGCACTGGGAGAGCAGGGCTGGTTGCACAGGGAGGAGGGAACAGCCAGGGCTCCCTGCCCCTCTGCCAGCAGCGCCTTTCCACGCCGGGGGAAACTGAGGCACGGAGAAAGCAGAAAGGATAAAGGCTGCATCACCCAGAGGGATGAACGCCAGGTCTCCTGCGGCACAGGTCAGCGCCCCTCCCCACCGCCCTGGGAGGGTCCCCGGGATGGAGAGGGACGGGAGGAACCCAGAGCCAGAAGTCGAGCTGGGGGGGGACACGGCAAATTGGGGCAGCACAATGTCCGCGATGGGCAAATCGCCATCTGGGGCTCCTGGGAGCCAGCCCGGGGTCCAGCCCCACAGGCTGCGGGTGTCTCTGCTCCAAGGGTGGTCCCACGGGAAGGAAGGAGGGGAAGTGCCGTGTGTCGGTAGCACACGGCTCCGGGAGCCAAAGCTTTTGGTCAGCACAGGTGTCCCCCAGCCCCCCAGCACAGGTGAGGGGTCACCTGGCTCCTCTCTGACAGCACAAGGACCCCGAGCCCACCACCCTGCCCTCACCCCCCCGGCAGCCCCTCCCGTGCCCCCCGAGCTGGCTCCTGCCCAGAACCGCTCCGGACGTGCCCCCCGAGGCGGCAGAGACTCACGGAGGGGCGGCGGCCGGGCAGGACGGGCGGCAGCCTCGCCGCCTCGGCGGTGCTCGGCCCTGGCAACTTCCCCGGGCTGGCCAGACTCTGGAGCCTCGCTCGGCAAAGCCCCACCCCGAGCCCTCGCCTGCCTCCCGCAGAGGAGGAGCGTCGGCTGGAGCCTCTGCCCCGGGAGCCTCGGGAACCGGCCGGGCCGGGGGGGACCCCGGGGGGGACCCCAGGAATGGCAGCAGCCTCAGGATGGGCATCCCACCACGGCACCGGCTGTATCCCACCATCCCCATCTCCGCTGGCAGCATCAATCCCCCCCCGAGGGCTCTTGCCAAGCCTCAGCATCCCAAACTCCAGCTCAGAGCTTGCCACTTTGGTGGCACTGAGGGGAGAGCACGCTGTACATGGAGCAGGGGCCTGCACACGGAGCTGGCACGGCTCTCTGCCCGTTTGTGTTCCAGCTCCTGGGCTGAGGTGGCAAAAACCTCTGGGGCTGCTGAGCCAGAACTGAACCCCTGGCACCCCGGGGCAGAGCTGGCTGCCTGGATCCCAGCCAGGATGCACCCCAGGGACACCACAGCTGCCCCACACAGCCCAGGGACACCACGGCTGCCCCACACAGCCCAGGGACACCACGGCTTCCCCATCCAGCCCAGGTCCCCCCGGAGCACTGGGCATCACGGCTGGGCTGGGACTGAACCCCCTGTAATCCCCAGGAGCCAAGGTGAGGGCCCTTCCACGGCCCAGTTTGTTCCCAGCTTCTCCACCCTCCAAGCTTTGTCTCCCACTGTTTCCCTTCTCTGGATCCACAGCAGGAACATGGCTCTGGAGCCCGATGGCATCACTTGTCCCCGGGGTCAGAACCAGCCCAGCTCCTTCCAACACAGCCACTCACCCACAGCACCCAAACCCAGAGGAAGACCCTTCCCTCCCCCCAGTCCCACCCTCCCCATTTATTCCCACAGAGACCTGGATCCCACCTACCTTCTCTCCTTGCTGGCCTGGACCTCTCCTACATGAAGGAAGGCCCCACGTCTCTTCCAAGGCTCCGTCTTCTACAGATCCCCCGTGGTGACTTCCAGTCCTGGATCCTCACATGGGAATGGTGCCTGGGGCTCGTGTGCCAGGACAGAGGTGGCACAGGGCAGGAAGCGGGTGATGGCACTGGGAAGGAGAGGGAGGAACGTCCGCAGGCTCCTGGATCCGCTTCCCCCCGGTTGGTTTTTAAATCCTCACGCTCCCATCGTGGGATGCCAGCGGCTCTGTCCCCGGGGAGGGCTCGGTGGGGTCACCCCACCTGCCCTGGAGCAAGGGCAGCCCGGAATTCCCACCAGGGCAGGGGCTGGGAGGTGCCAGGAGGGCCCAGGGAGCCGGTTTGGTGCCACCAGCAGAGGTTTATGTTCAGTGCCCTGGGGAGGAAGGGCCGTGGGACTCAGTGGCTCCTGGGAGGCGTCACAAGGGCAGCAGCCGCGGGAGGGGGAGGGCTTTTGTCACCACAGGTGTCCCATGACCCCCATCCCTGCAGGAAACAACAGGGCTGGGTCCTTCCTGTCCTTGTGGGAAGGAAGGGGAGGGTGGTGGGGCCAGCACGGCCCTGGGGTCCCGTCCCCAGCACAGCCCTGGGTCCCCAGCACAGCCCCGGGTCCCCAAAACAGCCCTGGGGTCCCCAAAACAGCCCTGGGGTCCCCAAAACAGCCCTGAGTCCCCAACACAGCCCTGGGTCCCTGACACAGCCCTGGGGTCCCCAATGCTCATGGGTGCCACAGGCCCCTGCCATAGGAACATGGGGAACACCCAGCTCTGCAGCAGAGCCACCAAACCCCTCTTTGGTCCCCACATGCCACCTCAGGGTGCAGTGCTAGGGCAGGATTTGACCCTCTCCAGGCACACCCATCCTGCCTGGAGCAGCAGAGGAATGCCCAGCCAGGACACAGCCCCCAGTGCCCAGGCAGGGTGCTCCTGGGTCCTCTTGCCCTCCAAAAGGTCCCCCAAGCCCAGCCTGAGCCAGTCACCCCCCTGTGCTATGGGACAAGCCCCTAACGGTGTTTGGGGTGCTAGAAAAGGGCTCTTCCACCCATCTCTCCTATGAGGGGCACAGCACAACCCCAGCACCCGGGCACAACAGGGCCCAGCACCCAGAGCCACTCCCAAACCTCCCACTGGCCCAAAACCCAAACATGCTCTGCTCACCAAAATATTTGCCCTGGGGGAACAGGGAGGTGGCTGAAATGAGGCTAAAAGGCACATTTTTGCTTGTTTTTGGAACAAGCTGGAGAATCAAAGAGAAGCCCCAGGTGCAGAGGCTGTGGCTGTGCAGGCTGTGCACGGCCCAGCTCAGGGGGCCAGGGAGGACCAGTTCCCCCAGTTCCCCCAGTTGGGGCTGGAGCAGAGCACTGGGGTGGGACAGGCACGAGGGGACCCACGGCAGGGCCCAGCCACCTCCCCCAGGCACCCAGCCCTCAGCTCACCTGGCTCAGCTCCTGTTGGACACCAGATCCCTGAGCAGGAGGGCAGCAGGGGGAGGCCAAGCCTCCGTGTGTCCCCTGGGACAGCAGAGAGCCAGGCCGGATCCATTACAGCCCTTCCATTATTCAGGAGCCCAGGCAGGACAAAGGGGAGGTACAACAGGGGGAGGGAGAGGACTGGGGCTCCACTCCCCACGGTGCTGATGTGGGGCTCCATTTGCACCCCACCAGGGACCCCTCTGAGCCACATCCTGCAGAAAGGGCTGTCACACCAAACCACAGCCTCGCTGAAACCCACCCCTGGAGAGCACCAGACTGGAGGGTTTCGGCAAGCAGGCTCTGAGAGAGGCTGGGCCTGTGAGCCAGGGGTGGAAAGCCCCTGCTCAGGGCTGAGGTCTGGCCAAGTGGTGCTCACGTCATTGAGCAAATCTCAGCACCAGCGTCAGGTTCTGCTGCCATGGGTAAGGCAGGAAGGGGAACAGCCACAACCTGCAGAAATACACGTAGGCAAGCAGAGCCCAACCTCCACAGCACCCCTGCCACCTCCACAGCACCCCTGCCACCTCCACAGCCTCCCCACATGGACCAGCACGGGTCCCTGATCCCTGCCAGCCCCGCTGACCAGCACCGCAGTCACCGGAAGGTTTGTACAGGAGAAGAGTGAAAATCCTTCTTCCACATTTTATACATTTCAGCCTAGAAAAAGGCTGGTGTGGGAGAGACACCTCTGTCTGTATTTAAATAGCTGTATTTGGATCCAGCAAGTCTGTTGGTAGCAGGAAACATCCCGTCCACCTGCTTCCTGCTGTCCCAGCCAGCGCCACCGCTCTGGCTGCTCCGCCCGGGATCGGCCCCGGGATTTACTCTGGGGTGGGTGCTGCTGGGTGGCCCTGCCCCAGCACACTGAGCACGCCCTGGGCATGCCATACTCCTGGTTAGAACATATCCCTGCTCTCACAGATGGCAGGAACAGCCAGTCCCGGGATCTGTTCTGTATTTCGTCACAGAAGCAAGAACAAAGCCCGGGCTGCCGTTCCCATCCCCGCTCAGCCAGGGCAGCTCTCCGGGGTGAGGGCAGAGCTTTACACAGCCTGATCTGGGAACCAAACACCTCTGCTCCCACCCTCCAGACCCTGCACAAGCAGCAATCACCAGGCATCACCCTGCAAAACCGAGTTTCCAGGGAATGCAGCACAAAACACCTGGAGGCAGAGTCCAGAACTCTTTGCTCCCTCCAAGACAACCGGGAACTGTGCAGCCTCCCCACATTTCACTCCCTGACCTCCACCCCCGAACACTTGTCCCAGAGCTCAGGGGCATTTAACCCCACGGCAAAACAGAAGATTGTTGTCCCCCATTGCCCTTGAGCAGCTCCCTCCTGGCACGGGGATGGAGCCCTGCACAGCTGCAGGGCACTGCCCCGCTGTCCTGCCCTCCTGCCCCACAGCACAGCCCCTGCTCTGCTGCCAGGGCAGGTCAGGATCACAGGCACAGCACGGTTCTCTTACCCTGCACCTCTACTCCGACCAATCTAGTTCCCAAACTCACCTGCTGGGCATCCCCAGGTGTTGAGCAGCAGTGAGGAGGGGACTGTGAGGCAGGAGCTGTCCCAAAGTGTGTGTTTGAAGTCAACAGCAAGAGCCTCTAAGGCAGATCCCAGTCTGGGGCAGATGTCCTTGGTGGTGATTTACAGAGTGCAGGAACTCCTCCCAGGCAGCTACACCAGGGCCATGGGGGTGACAGAATCACAGAGTACTCTGAGTTGGAAGGGACCCACAGCATCGAGTCCAAACTGAGCTGGCACAACTCCCTCTCCTTCCAGGTGCTTCACTAAACATCACATATGGAAAAGTGCTGTTACTCCTGCTTGGGACAGGGTCTGATGTGCACCAGGACTGAGTAGCTGATCATGGACAGGCAGAACTCGGTGCCCTGCTCCTCACCCCACTTGAGTCACTCCTCCTCATCTGCCCCTGCACTGCAGCCCCTCCTCTGCCTGCACCACTCCTGCACCAGGAGCCACATCCATCCTGGATCCATCCCGTCCTCCTCACAGGCCCCTCTCCCTTCTCAGTCAGCCCAGAGCCACAGAAAGTTTCAGGGTCGCTTCTTCCTCACAGAAATTACTCAGTTTAGCCAAAAGCCAGAGCAGCAACTGCTTGTGGGCTTTCAACAGCAAACATTTCCACACTGCTCTCAGAAACCACACTGGGCTGAGTCCTCCATCACCGCTTTCGTTATTTTAATTTATCCCCTCCAGCTCCTCTCCCTCCCTGTTTATCTTCTCTGAAAAGCACTTTCTGGTTTTAAAAGTTTAGATCTTCTTTTCAAAGACAAAACACCAGCGTAAGAACTTGGAGTACCTTTACATTCAAGAGAGACTTTTGCCTTACGACTCCTCTTTGAAATAATTCCTTTGTTTGATCGTTTATGCCTTTTTCTTTCCTGAAACTTGGATCTGCTGGGCTGGGAAGTAAGGTAATGGTTGATCACTTCTGCTTTGCTCTCTGCTTCTCAGACACTGAAATATCTCTCTGTGGGTGAACACGGTCCTGCTGCAGTAAAACAAAGGTGGATTTTGTTTGTAAATTGTCTCTGGAAAGGAAACCGGAAAGTTCTTGGGAAGCAAAACCTCCCGCTTCTTCCTGAACAACAGAACACAGGACCACTTTGATTAGCACCAAAAGGATTTTAAATGAATAGTTCCAGGGAGCTCCTTTCAAATCATAAAATGTCAATTTTACATAAAAGTGTGTTTACAAATAGTTTCTGCTTTACACTCAGCTCTGCCCATTACTGACCAGAAGTTATATACACACAAACTAGCTCAGCAGCTTCAACCACTTGCAAGGGAGGACTGCAGAATTTATTTAAGAAATAAAAATAGGATTTTCCTGGTTCCTAGAAATTCTCTTCGGCCTGCCAGACCCAGTCACCTGCCGGCTCCTGCAGCCTCGGGAGAGCACTAAGCTTTCGGGGAGAAGGGGTACTGTGGGTGCCACCAATCCAGGAGCCTGACGCTGTGCACGGGGTCCAGCACCACCTGCACCCCCTGCTCCAGGCGGGGCTTCTTCCCGTTGCGGACGGGGGTGTCCTGGAACACGAGGCGCACGCGGTGGTGCCGCATGTCGGTGCTCACGTTGATGGTGAACTGCAAGAGAGGAGAGACCAGAGGGGCTTCAGCAAAACCAACACGAGTTCTGAGCACAGCACTTCCAGGGTTTTGTGACTTCTCCTGGCCCGTGCAAGTCTGAAGTGTTTTAGAGTTTATCACAGGCACTGGCACTGGTTTATTGCCCTGTGGGATAACTAAAACTGTGTGTGCTACACCCTCTGTGCCATTGCTGAGGGACTGGTAATAAAGGGATAACCAAAACTGTGTGTTCTGCACCCTCTGTGCCATTGCTGAGGGACTGGTAATAAAGGGATTGTTTGCACAGTTGCCCAGGGCACACCTGACACCTCAGGCTCTCAGAACCCTGCAGACAGGGCAGCGTTTCTTTGTCCTCACACCAATGGCTCAGCCCTGGGAACTCCCCTCCAGGGAGGCATCAGCCCCAGCCCGAGGGCTCATCTCTGCTCATGGGCCACCTTGGACTGGCACAAGGGGCAGCTGCAGCCACCCAGACCATCAAAGGTTCCAAAAACATCCCGGGGCTCACAGAGTTCAACCCCCCCTCGGGACACTCCCCACCCTGGGGGAGGCACTGGGCATTCCCACCTCAACCTGAGCACATCCACTCTGGGGTCTGGGCACTGCTGGGACCACTGGTGGATCCAGAGGAGGATCCAGAACTCCAACAGAACTGTGACCACCATCCTGACCAACAGCTTTCCTTTCTTTTTCCTTTGCCCCCGGGGGGGCCACGTGGAGCTCAGCACAGGGGCCCAGGAACACTGCTCTGTTCTTGCCCCAGGGTGCTGGGTTATACATCTGTCTTTGGGGGTTAAAACCAGTTTTCTCTGTATCATTGCACTTATTGCAATCGTTTTAGTAAATTGTAACTCTGACTTGTGATCTCTCTCGAGTTGGGCTCGTTTCTGCCGCTGGTTTCCCTCTAAACCAGCACAGAGTTACACTCTGAGTTTACAGCACTGCCTGGCAACCCCAAATAATAATGCTCCAAGTTGTAAGGGTTGTAAAACATTGGGACAGGCTGCCCAGGGCAGGGGTGGAGTTGCCATCCCTGGAAGGGATGTGGATGTGGCACCTGGGGACGTGATTAGGGGTGACCGTGGCAGTGCTGGGCAATGGTTGTATCCATGCTCTGGAAGGTCTTTTCCAATCTAAACAATTTTAAGTGTCTGTGATTTTAAGAGAACCTGGAAACAAGTGGTTGTCAGGGGAGGTCTGGAACTCACTGCCCTACTCCTAAGTGAAGTCAGACTGAACCTCTCCTGGGCACAGGCCACTTCTGAAGCCCTGACTCACCAGCACAGCCCCTTGTGCTGCCCCCTGTCAGCACAGAGATGCCCCAACACTCCTGCTCTGCTGCTCTCTGGAGCCCAGCTTGGGGGGTTTGTCCCAAAGCTGCCCTTCCTCCCATCAAGGACCAAACACACATTCAAAGGGTTTGCTCAGATGGGATTTTCCTCTTGGAATTTATTGCCAATAAGGAGATATTTTCTTGAGGAGGGCAGACCTGCACTTCTCCTGCTCCCTCCCTGTCGTACCTTCTGCAGTTCTGGTAACTAATCACCCCCAAACACTGCACAACAACCACAGCTCCTGAAGATCCTCTACATCCTCTGTATTTACTGCACCAAATAGGGAAGAGCTGATGGAAATGGAGAAGTTAAACTGAGACCCTCAGCATTTCCTGTTCATAAGATTGCTAACACTGGTTTGCTGACGGAGCAGTGGGATTTGCACAGCCCCAGGGAGGCACTGGGTGGGGTTCCTGGGATTGTCCTGTGCAAGGCCAGGAGCTGGGACTCAAAGCTCCTTGTGGGTCCCTTCCAACCCAGGAGGCTCCATGATTTTAGGTGCCCTCCTGCCAAAAACCTCCCCTGCAAAGCCTGCCTGGCAGCTTCTCCCCCACTCACCAAGGTAAATGTCATGCCCATGACGATTGGCACGAAGATGAAGTTGAAGGTGGTGATCTGCAGCAGGCAGCAATCCTGATCCGGGTTCGTGTGCACCTCCTCGTACTGGATGGGGGGCTGGAGACCTTTGCAACACTTGCTCTTCAATCTGGGGGACTTGGAAAGAAAGAGGCCCTGATTGAGCTGAGCAGGTTCTCACCACCTCCCCCTGTGTTTTGGGCAAAGTGTTCCCAAAACAACCAGAAGCCTTCATTCAGGACAGGCAGGACCATTCCTTTAGAGGGGAAAGCTGCAGAATTCCCAAAGTTGCCTGAGACTACTGGCTTCTCCCAAGACCCATTCCTGGAGGTTTTCCCTTGCTTTATTTCTCTGACAAATCTTTGCAATGGTAAAACAAGAAGTTTCAGGTTTTTGGTCAACATTTTGACTGCTACAGTCAAACAGTCGGGTTTGAGTAGTAATCACACCCAAAGGTGAGATTATTTGGGGTAATAAATGATCCAGGTCAGAAGGGATACCAAAGGAGGAAATAAAAATGTCTTGGTAACACAGACAGAAGACTGAGTGTAGTTTCAGACTGTGCTTTAGTTTACCATGGGAATCAGAGTTTCCATTTATTGTCTGAAGGCATAAAAAGTTTCCACCTTCCCTTTTACCACCCAGAAAAATAATTTCTGCTTCAAACAAAAGTCACTGCCAATCCTTCATACCTGCTTTTTGAACTTGAAGTTGAATTCCCACATTGCTTCTTGTCTGTTCCCTACAATCTTTTTGCACCAGAAAAGCAGACACTGAGGTGGAAAAAAAGAAACACACAAAATTATGAAACCCTTAGAGGCACCACTTTAAATAAGTTTTAGAAGAGCATAAAGGCTTCCAATTACAAAAACAATTATATAAGAGCAATTAGGAGCCACTTATTCAAATTAATTATGTTCAAAGAACCCTCTCAGCAGTTTAGATCTCCCAGTTTCAAGTTGGCCAACTCCTCATGCAACTGGAGAATACAACACGTAGCCAACTGATGTGCCAAACAGAAAAATCCAGTTGTGCCATTTATCCCTTTCCTAAGGCAGGGGATGAGTGGTGCAGATTCACCCATTCCCTCAACCCACCAGGAACTCCCATCAAACTGGGCTCCAAACGAGATCAAAGCCAGGAACAACTGAAAACAGAGCAAGGATCAAGAAGGAAAGGATCCAAAGGGAAATGCAAAGCTCAGCACATGAGCTGTGAGGTGATGGATGAGAAAGTTCCTGAGCCACTGTGGTGTCAAACCTTGACATCACCAGGCACTGCCTGTCACTGTTCAGAGCACAGAACCACTGCCAGGACAGCCCAGCCTGACCAACCTCCTGCCCTGTTGGAAAAGCAAAGGAGAAAACAGCCTCCAACAGCCTGAGAGGTCACCAGCACTGCCCTCCCACCCCCACACACAGCAGAGCCCTCCACTGCCACCTGGTTATCCCTGGGTGGGACACAGGCTCCATCCCAGCACTCAGCATTCAGGGGCTCAGCAGAACTCCTGCATGGAGCTGGGAGGGAGGGACATTCCCTGCCTAGCAGTCAGTAGGAGCAACCAGCATTCAACAGCCAAGGGAAGAACCTGGCAAGTGAGTCCAGCCGTCCCTCAAAGTGTTTCCACAGGACAGATGCCAGGCCAGCACAGCTGGGCTGATCTTTCACCAGTGTCAGCAGAAAAGGAGGAACAATGTGGGTGAAGAGAACTCCCTGTGATCTACACACAGTCTCTCCTGAAGAGAGAAGGCCTGACTGGGCTGCAGGGCACAGCACACATTTGATTTCACTCCAGGACAGAGTGACCCCAATGAAACAAAGTCAGAGCCAGCCCCCACCACAGGGGCTCAAAAATTAAAACTACAGCTGATACAAGACCCTCTCCTTCAACTCTGAGTCATGTCCATAAACAAGAGTCCTTAAAGGACCCTCATCTCCACAACCTTCAGGAGGTGAACAACAAAGCCACGTGGAGTCAAGCTCAGAAACACGCAGGGAGGGAACAGCCCCCTCGGGGTTTTCTTCCCCAGTAAAAATCTTCTCCAGATCTTTTGGAACTGGGGTGAGGTGCCCATGCTGCTGAGTTTGGCTCCACCACCAGTGGCACTTTGGGGTTCACCTGCAGAGACAGCCTGGTCTAGAGCAGCTCGTTTGGTCATGGCAATAGTGAAGCACAAAACATCAGTACCTCCTAAGGGGCAGAGGATGTCCTCGGGTCAGCCGTCCTGCCCTTCAGACGCGCCGTGCTCCGCCAAAAATTAGGGGGTGTCTTTAAAGGGCAAACACCTCTGCTGACACCATAACGGCTCCAGTGTCCCACACAAGCTAGGCTAGGGAAAGAAAAAAGGAAATTAAAGAGGAAAGGCTGGATTGGATCGGATAACACCCAGCTCTGGGCTCTCCACATGCACTTTCGGGAGGCGGCGCCGTTAGTTTAAGGACCCGTCAAAGGTACAACCAAAGCCCAGGAAAGCCAGAGCGTGGGGAGGCAGTGCCAGAGCCTCCTCCAAACCCTCTGTGCCGAGGAATTCCTGTGCACAGTCACACGGGTGGAGCTCAGAGTCCTGCAATGCAGTGGCACAGCCAGACCAGACTCAGGACGGCTCTTTCATGCTCCAAGGGGGGAGGGTCAGGCCTCTGATGCTCTGACAAAGCCTCAGCACCACTTAATTTCCTTTTTTTAAAAGCTGAACAGTAAAAGACTGCACTTCACAGAGCTTCCTCAAACCATTAGTGCAGGAGAAGCACTAGCAGTGGGCACCAAAGCCGTTATGATGTCAAGGTGAATCCTTCCAAAATGCCCTGCCAGCATCACCCCGGGGTTTCCAGCTCCTACAGCCACCGCAGGCCCGAGCAGTGGGAGGAAGGTGTTCTCAGGACTGCAGTGAAGTTGGAATTCCCTCGAAATGTTTTGCTTTTTTAATCTTTAAGAAATGATGATCCCCAAAGCGGAGACTGAGGATGAGAAGGAAGAGCTCTGATGCAGAGCTAAGACCGCACACAGATCCGTGTGTGTGCTTTTCCCTGGGCTGCAGCACCACCTACCTGTGTGCTGCTGGATGCTCCCTAAGCCTGGGACAGCCTTCCCAGTCCCCACCAGGGAGAGGGAGGAAGGAAGAAAGGGAGGATGTCACGCAGGGATAGACGAGGTTGCTCTGTTTTGAGCAGAAAAGAAAGTACAACTCCTGAACCAAACCCAACTTCGGTTTGGCACCAAAAACCTCGTTCAACAGGTTTTTGACCTTGGATTTGGAGGGTGGAGAATTCACATTGTTGTTTAAGCTGCTCACAGAGTATCAGCCAGTTGCAAGTTAAAACCAAACAAGAGACATGGAGGCATTTCAGAGTTAATGGTCAACAGCAATTAAACAGAAATGGTGTGAGTGCTCCAAGCTGGACAGCACAGGGAATCGCCTGCCCACACCAGAGACAAACCCTTTCCAGCCCAACAACACAAGTGCAGCCCGAGGCCCGAAGCAGACACTGGCTCTGCACATTTGCCATGCTCAGCACCCCAGCACCACCCTCCCTCACCCAGACCCCCCACCATGGGTGACCTACGGGAAGGCAGCATGACATGACTCCTGGCTACCAGTGTCACTCCTGAGCTCTCCTGATGCCTGTTACAGATGCACTCTGGCAGACAAGGGTCAGAACAAAGCACAGAGTATAAAAGCCGATCCTATGGAGCCTCCTTCCAGAGGAGGGGAGAGTTGCAAACATCCCTGGCAGTTCTGGCACCCAGTGGAGCAAGTGCCCTTTTGCTGGTTACAAAGGTGTGTGGGGACCACTTGGGCAGAAGTTACTCCAAAGAGTAACACTACAGACACAAGTAACCAGCACCCTTCTACAAACCCCTCCTCTGTGTCAGGGATCATCCTACACCCGTGTCAGGGATCACCCTACACCCAGGTCAGGGATCACCCTACACCCAAGTCAGGGATCACCCTACACCCAAGTCAGGGATCGTCCTACATCCAAGTCAGGGATCACCCCACATCCAAGTCAGGGATCATCCTACACCCAAGTCAGGGATCACCCTACACCCAAGTCAGGGATCACCCTACACCCAAGTCAGGGATCATCCCACACCCAAGCTTTGCTGGTGACCGTCTGAACACCATCTAGAAAGAAAAAAACCAAACCAAACAGGAACAGCAACGCCTCAGGCTTCCTCAGGACCTCACTTACTCTGGAATTTTTTAAAGTGCTGGGAGTACTGTCTGGGATGGCGGGGTTCCTGGAGACGCGGGAGGCGAAGGGCTCGTACATGTGGTACAGGGAGCGGATGACGCAGGCCCGCAGGCAGTGCAGCTTCTCCATGGACTCGGGGCGCAGGCGCAGCGGCAGGTACGCGTCCAGACTGTAGTGCCTGAGGGGACAGGGACACAGCCAGTGTCAGCTGCAGGGCCACAGCACCAGAGCTGGGCAGGGACAGCCACAGCAGAACACTGAACATCTGACTGAGCACAGCAGCTCTGGTAAAACCCTGAGGGATGTGAGGGGGTTGTGCTGCTCTGCACGGGATCGGGGCGGGCGCAGAGGCCTGACCTGCACCACGAAGGTTTCCAGCACATGGATCTCAGCCTGAACATCGGGGCAGTTTTGGATAATATAAGGAAGATATTCAGCTCTTTGAGAGTGTCCAAAGGAGGGCAATGAAGGTGGAGAAGGACCTTGATTTGAAGCCATGTGAGGACACTGAGGGCACTTGGTGTGTTCAGCTGGAGCAGAGGAGACTGAGGGGAGACCTCACTGCAGTTCCACCTTCCTGGGCAGGGGCAGAGGAGGGGCAGGGACTGAGCTCTGCTCTGGGGGGACCAGGGACAGCAGCCAGGGAATGGCTGGAGCTGTGTCAGGGCAGGCTCAGGTTGGATCTCAGGCAAAGGTTCTTCCCCCAGAGGCTGGTTGGGCACTGCCCAGGCTCCCCAGGGCAGTGGGCACAGCCCCAAGGCTGCCAGAGCTCCAGGAGGGTTTGGCTGATCCTCTGGGGCACAGGGTGGGACTCTGGGGATGGGCCTGTGCAGGGCTGAGAGTTGGACTGGATGGTCCTTGTGGGTCCCTTCCAACTCAGCATAACCTGGGATATCGTGCCACAATTCCCCAATAATTCCTAGCAGACAGTTTTCCCAGAGAGATAAAACAGGGATTTAGCTGCAGGCAGCACAAAGGGCTGAGATTGCTGCAGGTTCTCAGGGACTCAGTTGAGCTGAGCTCTGCCTGGGCAGCCTGAACCTGGCACTCCAGGGCCATCCTTTGATCAGATCCCAAAGGAGCCTTTGCTGGGGAACTAAAAGCCAAGGGTGAGGGTGACCATGGCTGCTCTGTGCCCCTGCTGCCTCCAGGGCAATGAGAGCAATGGAAAGGAAATGTTTTGTTCTGAAGGAAACATGCACCAGCACAGGAGGATTTATTCCAAGTTCTGACCACCTCTTTGCCCGTCTTCTCTTGCTTTAACTTCCTTCTGCCACTGTACAGCTCCCAAATGCCTTGGTTCCTCTCTGGCCACCCTAATTACAGGAAGGTGGTCATGACCAGAGCTCCAACCAGGCTGCTCCAAGCCCCATCCAACCTGACCTTGGACACTTCCAGGGATGGGGCAGCCACAGCTTCTCTGGGCAACCTGTGCAGGCCCTCACCATCCTCACAGGGAAGGATTTCTTCCCAATATCCCATCTAACCCTGCCCTGTGGCAGTGGGAAGCCATTCCCCCTTGTCCTGTCACTATCTGCCTATATAAAAAATACATATTGACTATATAAAGACTATAAAAAGTCCCTCTCCCTCCTTTATCTAAGCCCCATTAAGGGACTGAAAGGCCACAGGGAGCTCTTCCTGGATACTTCTCCTCTCCGGGCTGAACAACCCCAGCTCCCTCATCTTGTCTTCATAGGAGAGGGAACCTTGCCCACACCACAACCCCTTGCCCACATCACAGTGTCAATACACAAACACAGGGCCCTCGCCTGTAGGGAATTATTCCCTTATTTCCAGCTCTGCTCACTGCTGAAGGCTCCTACAAACAGTTTCAAATTTCTGTAGAGAGTCTCACCTTCTGTAGAGCCTGGTCCAAAAGGCAGCAGTGCAAGTCACAGTCCAGGCTTTCTTGCAAATCAGAGAAAACCTGACAATGTCCTCAGGGCGAATGTAGGAAGCCAAGAGCAGCCAGATGTCGATGGGATACTCCTCTCCACCTCCCCCATCAGCGCTTTCTAAGTGCACAAAGAGGGGTGTTAGTGCAGTAAATCACATCTGTACCAAGCCACTTCTATGTCTGCTTTACTCCTGGTAGCAGCCCAACAAGCCCAAGTAAGAACAACTTCATGGTCACGGGAAACCCCAAAGCCTTTCTGGCCCCTGTTTCGATGCCTGAGCCTTTCACAGCTGAAACACCACCCTGAACTGAAGAGATAAAAATTGGGTGGCAAATAAAGAGGCAACTTTATGTAAAGGGGAGACAAGCTCCTGCATATTTAATCAAAGCTGCTCATTTAGCAGGTCATCAGAACTGCAAGTCCTTGAGCATTAAGACACTGCCCAGCTTGTCAATCCTCTGTTCCAGTGGTCACAGTGCTTTGCAGGAGCTCTGTCAGGGAAGGAAAGCAATTCTCTCCTGCAAGTGGCAATCAGCTGCTTTTCTTAAATTTCTAATTTCATTAGAACTTCTGGGGTGGGAAACGTTACTGCAGCTCAGACAAACAGAATGGCCTCTTCTTCCCCCAGAGGTGTCAGAACTGCTTAGCCAGAACTGAGGGTTCAGACGCCCCTTTCACTCCTGGGGTGTTTTTAGGGTTACACCACATGTTTTTCTACAGCCACTGCTCCAACTTTAGGAGGAAAAAATACTTTTAACGACTATAAATAGCTAAACAATCCCGAGCACTAGGAATGGTAAGAGAAGAGAAAGAAAACACAACCGGTACCCAGTGCTAACAGGAAAAGCTGCATAAAAAGTGGCCCAGGGGTGGTGTTTGCCAGATCTAACCCTGAGACAGGTTAGGAACAAAGGGCAGTTCTTTATCCTCATGTGATAATTGCCCAAGAAAGCTCTGAAGGTGATCACTCCCCCAGAGCACTTCAGAATTTATGGCAGACACACCCACAGCATCCACCCAGCTAATTCATCTCTGGCTCAAGGAGCTGTGGAACTCCACACTGCTGGACTCAGAGCACAGCCAGAACCATCACTGCTCTAGCACCATTTTTTCCTCCCTAACAGGTAGTAAAAATGAGACAAGGCTGTAGTAGAACAGAATATTGTCTTCCCAGACTCATAACTCCACCCACTCAGGTATTATACTTTGCCAGGATTCTGAAGGATGTCAGAAAAAAAGAGGAGAAGCTCCTTTAACTCCCTTCCCAGCGAGTGCTGTGCAGTCTGTGGTGGATGGTGATGTGCTCCATAAATTAGTATTAAGTTCAAGAAAACCAGTTAAAATGTGTTTCTCAACCTGAAAGCAACCTGTTACTAGAAATTTCTGCAGGGTTCCACAGTGCAGCAGAGCTGTTTGTTGCTTTGTAAATGGCTTTTCTGTAGAGTGGCACAAAGTGTAAATGCTGAGGGATTCATCTCCCTGGAATCAACCTACTGTGATGCCAACAGGATCAAATGCACTTCCTTGCTGGAAAAACAGCCCTCTGAACTCATTTGTAACAAACCACAGGCTTGAAAACAGAGCTTGTATTTTGCCAACAACTGCATCGTGGACAGCAGCAATTCACCCCCAGAGCAAACCTGCTTTCACCAACACGAGCTCAGTTAAGCAACACGTCCAGTGGCAGTTTCCCAACTCCGGAAGAGCAGTGTTTTTTTTCCAAGGCTGAGAGATATTTACTAAAAGCAAGGAGCTCTCAGGCTTTGATTTCACGCCCCAGGCTCTGCCTTTGTGCAAACACAACACCCCTGACCCAGCGCCAGGAGATTTACAAGTGACTGAACCCCCGGCATTTCTTTGTGCAGGTCACAGAATGCCCCTCGAGCAGCCCGTAAATCCCGAACATTAACAGCAGGAGGAGGTGCAGCAGGAGCCCCCAGAGCCCCTGCACAGCTGTGACCGCACCTTTGTGCCTTTTGCTCTTCTTTTTCCTCGAGGCAGCCCGCCCGTTGATGCTCTCCTTTGTGTCCATCTCATCGCTGCTGTCGCAGGACTCTCCCGACACGGAGAGAACTTCCTCAGCGGGAACGCAGGAAGCTTCCAAACCACACAGGGATTTTACTGGAATGACAAACGACACAGTAAGTACAGCAGCAGAGAGGAAAAGGTGATCCGAGTTCAGGAGATACTTCAGTGGAACCACTGCCTTAAAGCTTTCTGCCGAGTGACACAAGCAAGTAAATCCTGGGCTCAAGGATTACCTTGTCAGGGAAAGATTAGCAGGGGTGAGTGAATTGGAAACATAATTATTCGGCTTCTTGTTTTAAAGAATGAACAATGAGGGCGATTACCAGCACATTATGCAGATCCCACTGGTTTAGCTGAAGCTATTTACAATTCTGAATAAAACAACAGGCTCTTTCTGCAGGGGTAAGTGGTTCCCCTGCGCAGCAGAGCTGTGGCCACCGTTCAGCCGGGAGCCAGCACCTACTCTGGAATTGTTTTAGGAGCACAGAGAGAAGTCACACTCCCTTCTCAGCAGGACAAACAGATGCTGTGGCTGATGACACACAATCCATCAGCGAAATAACTCAGTGCCAAGCACACGGGAGCTCCACTTACCCTGGAATTTAGTGAAGGGAAAGACTCTGGCCTAACCAGGAAAATAGCAGGTTGAGTCAGCTGGGGTTTGTTTTGGGTTTGGGGGGTTTTTTCCTCCCTCTGGGGGCATGATTAAAACTCAGGGCTCGGTAGGGCAGAAAAATCCACATGTGAGGCAGTAATGACAGTCTTGGAAAAGGAAAGGTGTGGTCCTACCACCGCTGTCAGAGAGCAGCACTGTCACAGCAGCACCAACTCTGCAGACAGTATATAAAACTCATTCAAGAGCTGAATTGCAACCCAACGTGTTGGGTGAAGAACAGCACTGCCAGCAAGAGAAACCTGCTCAAGCTTTCCTGCCCTAGCACAAACTACAGCCCAGGAAGGTTTTACACATCCCAGTTACAGTCACTGCAGCCACCAGAGAGCAAGATGTGCTACTCAAATCACAGGGGCAGAGTAGCAGAAAAAAACCCAACAGAAACAAAAATAACAAACTGATCACAAATAAATTCGGGTGAGAGATATTCTCATTTCTAACCACCAAACAAGGTTTCAAAATGGCAAGACAGCAGATGGAAAGACAGTCTTAAGACAGAGCCTGACTGTGCCCACAGACTAGAGGCATTTTCAGTGCTTAGCTAAACCAGTTCAGCCTCGCTCTGCAGGTTGCTCTGGAAGCTGGATGCATCCCTGGCATCTGGATGCACCCATGGCAGTGGTTTCCCCCACTGCCAATCATACTGCCCTCTCCACATGACCTTTTATAGGCAAAAAGAGAGAGAAACAGATGGCAACATGAGTGAGGGATGACATCAAACACAGCCAAGCCAGAGAGGACAAAAGTGACAGGGACCCAGAGAGGGGTTCAGAGGAAAAACCCACCACACTCTGCAAAGGAAAGATTAACCTCTGAGTCCACAAGACACAAATCCACTCAACAGTGAATCAGGCTGCACCATAACCCTGCAGAGGCTCCCTCTCCATCTCACTGCTGTGATGGGGAGGAAAAAAGCTCAGGAAAACTCCCCCAGCCCTCCTGGTGAAGCTCCCAGTGGGAAGCTCTTGCTCCTGGCAGTCACAGCCAGCTCCACGTTCACCCTGAGCCAGGATCCAGGAGGGCAGCGAGGCCAAAGGCTGCAGCTCCCGGGGCAGAGGCTCGTGGGGGCAGAGGCTCGTGGGCTGGCACGTGGCACAGATGAGGCCGTGCCAGATAAGGCTGCAGCAGCTCAGGGCTGCACCTGATAAGGCCCTGGGGAGGAGGCACCCTGAGGATCCCTGAATCCAGAGGGGAAAGCCCCAGAGACTACACTACAAAGAGCTGAGAAAGGGCTGGGCAGGGAACCGCTGGGAGCTGGAGCCATCAGGATGGGGTGGAGGTGAGCCAGGAACAGAGCAGGATTTTAGGGAAGGGTTTGTCCTTTTGGGTGATGCTGGATGCAGGGGGGGAAGAAACAAAGGCAGTTTGCCAGTGTGAGGCTGAAGTGCAGAGCTTTGCCTCAAAGACAGAGAACACAGAAGGGTGAGCAGGAGAGGGGATGGAAGAGGGAAGCCCCAAGCCTATACCAAGGGAGGCAACAAAAGGAGCCCTGATCTTAAAAGCTTGAGAAGTAGCAGCTCAAAAGGATATTCACCAGGATCACTGCCCCTGGCAGGTGCTCATGCAAAGAGCACATTTTCTTTTTAAAAGGATTTCTTTTAAAAACTTAAAATATTTCAGCAACAAGCCGAGAGTTTCCCTGTATGAAGAGTTCAGTCATCACTGCCAACAAAACATCCACCCCCAACACGTGTGATGAGCTCCAGTTAAGAGTCAAACTTTAACATTTCTCAAGCACACGGGGGTGTTGGTTCAGAAAGCTCCCAGCAGAGGAGGAAGTAGATAACAAAATACTGCAACTCCTTTCCTGGAAACTCCTTGTTTACAGAGTTCCCCAAGAAACAGCAACACCCTCCCCAAGACCTCCTTGCAGCACAGGTTTGCCAGAGCTATCACAGCCTTACTGCCACTGCAAAGACTTTTACCTGCTAATAAAACTGCCTACAGCTTTATGTGAGCTAATGAAGCAATAAAATACTTTTATCATGTCATTTTCTGCTTCGAGCAGGAGATGACACCCAAGCCCTTCTATTCCAGGCACTGACAAAGACTCAGCAATTCCTACTGGACTTGCAGCAGGCTTCCTGCAGAACCTGCTGTCTGAGCCCTCAGCACCTGATTCTGCAGAGCAGCACAGGCTCGTTTTCAGCACGGAATGACACACATTTTCTCAGGTTAAGGAAGGGGGGTTCCCACATCGTGCACAGGCAGCCTGGGGAGGGCAGGGCCCCCGGGGCAGACTCACCCTCCTGCTGCACCGCGTTGGCCACAGCCTTCTTCACCCGTCCAGACTTCACCACGGCCGGGTCCGAGTTGGCATAATCTGCCACTGTCACTGCAGAGGGTGGGACACAGGGGTCAGGGGGATTAGGGATTACAGGGGAGGGCACAGAAGGGCTAAGAGCCACCACGCCTGAAGGGGACGGTCCCCAGAGCAGCAGAGAGATGCACAGGCAGGAAAACGAGTCCCAGCAGTTGCAGGCCAGGGGTCCCCAGCAAGTCTCTACCCCAGGCTCAGGGGACCCACCCCTTGTCCAGACCAGTCCAGGCCCCCCCTCTTCCACCACCTCAACCCACACCAAACCCCAGAACCCCGCTAAAACCCAGCCTAACCAGAACCTGGCTCATCCCCTAGTCCCAGACTCCTCCTCCCCAGGCAGAGTCCTCATTCTCACACACCAGGCCAGATTCCCACTGGACACACTCCCTCCACAAACCCAATCTCTCCTTCCCACTGGACACACTCCCTCCATAAATCCAATCTCTCCTTCCCACTGGACACACTCCCTCCACAAATCCAATCTCTCCTTCCCACCGGACACACTCCCTCCACAAATCCAATCTCTCCTTCCCACTGGACACACTCCCGCCACAAATCCAATCTCTCCTTCCCACTGGACACACTCCCTCCACAAGTCAACTCTCTCCTTTCCCACTGGACACACTCCCTCCACAAACCCAATCCCTCCTTTCCCATTGGACACACTCCCTCCCCAAGACCGAGGGGGCCGGGCTAATCGCTCGGATGACACTGGCCCGACCTCCTGCCCCTCAAACCCCTCAGCCAGGCCGAGTCCAGGCCCCTCAACCACCTCCTCCCTCAGGCCTTAACGCAGGCCCAGGCCCAGGCCCAGGCCCAGGCTCAGGCCCAGGCGCTCCTCTCCGGACAGCACAGGCCGCCTTCCCCCGGTAGGGCCGGGCCGGGCCTGGCTCCCCTCAGTCCCCTCAGTGCCCTCAGACCCCTCTCCCCTCACACCCCGCTCCAGGCCCGGCCCCGCCGCCCCTCCCGGCCCGGCGCCGTCCCCTCTCACCTCTCTCGGAGCACACGTCGTCGGCGCGGAACTTGAGGCGCTTTCTGGCGGCCCTGCGGGGCATGGCGGCGGCGGCGGCGGGGCGGCCGCGCGGGGCCATGTCCGGCCGGGCCCCGCGGGGACAGCGGGGACAGCGGGGACCGCGCCCGCCCCGCGCCCGCCCCGCGTCACCGCCGCGACACCGCGCGCGGGGATGACGTCACCGCGGGGGGGGGCAGGGACACGGCCACCCCCCCCCCCCAGTGATCCCAGTGATCCCAGTAAAGGGGGACGTGAGGGGGGGAACCCTCGGTGAGGAGGAGCGGTGAAGTGACTGCGCCCTCACAGCGCTGAAGGGCCCTGAGGGGTTCCCTCCTTCCCAGTGCTCCCAGTAATGGGAGGCCTCTGAGGGGATCCCGCCTCCCAGTGCTCCCAGCAACGGGGACCCCTGAGGGGATCCCCCCAGTAAGGAGGATCCCTGAGAGGTTGTCCCCCCTCCCAGTAACGGGCGTCCCCGCCAGTAAGGAGGAGCCGTGAAGTAACTGTGCCCTCCCAGTACTGAAGGTCCCTGAGGGGGTTCTCCCCCTCCCAGTCTTCCCAGTCAGGAGGAACCCTGAGGGAATCCCCCCCAGTACTGAGGATCGGGGAAGGAACTGCCCCCTCCCAGTAATGAGGGTCCCTGAGGGAATCCCTCCCTCCCAGTCTTCCCAGTAACAGGGACCCCTGAGGGGATCCCCCCCAGTAAGGAGGATCTGTGAAGTAACTGCCCCCTTCCCAGTAAGGGGGGCCCTGAGGGGGTCCCATCTCCCAGTCCTCCCAGTACTGCAGGTCCCTGAGGGGATTCTCCCCTTCCCAGTAACAAGGGCGTGTGAGGAGATTCTGCCCCCCAATCCTCCCAGTAAGGAGAATCTCTGAGGTACTCACACCACCCTCCCAGTCCTCCCAGTAAGAGGGGCTCTGAGGCAATTGCCCTTCCCAGTAATGACTCTCTTGCACCCACAGCCGCCCCTGAGGGCTGTGTGCTCCCCCTCCCCAGCTCTGGCCGTGCCCTCTGCCACCATCCTGGATGCCCTGGCTCACCCACCCCCCCAGGAGGAGGATTTGGGTGCCCAATCTTCCCCAAAAGCCAGGACCAAAATCCAGTGGCTAGGAGGGGACTGACCCCTCGTCCTCCACGTTGTCCTGCCTGTGCCCTGCTCATCCAGGGATTTGGGAATCACCCAGAGCAGGTTGGGAGTCCTGCCCAGTCCTGGGGGTGTCCAAACTGGGAGGATGGTGGGGTCCTTCTCTCTTCCTTTGGGATCTACACAAGGGCACAAGAGCACAGCCCTGTCCTGCTTGTCCCTGTGGGGACCAGGGACAGCAGCCAGGGAATGGCTGGAGCTGTGTCAGGGCAGGCTCAGGTTGGATCTCAGGCAAAGGTTCTTCCCCCAGAGGCTGGTTGGGCACTGCCCAGGCTCCCCAGGGCAGTGGGCACAGCCCCAAGGCTGCCAGAGCTCCAGGAGGGTTTGGCTGATCCTCTGGAGCACTGGGTGGGACTCTGGGGATGGGCCTGTGCAGGGCTGAGGGTTGGACTGGATGGTCCTTGTGGGTCTCTCCCAGCTCAGCATATCCTGGGATTCAGTGAGTCTGGGATTCTGTGGTTCTGTGAACACCCCACTGTGTTGTGTTTCCCACCTGTGCTCCTTCCCTACGAGACCTCAGGAGAGAGATTTGGACCACAGGAGATGCTTTCAGGGCTGTGGCATCAGCTCTTGTGCCTCCCTGGAGCAAGGTAACACATGGAATATAGAGAAATCCACATTTCTTCTGCTTCCCAGGCACGGCCAGGAGCTGATGGTGTCTATAACCTCCCTTCCTGACCACATTTCTTTCTCTCAGCATTTCTTAAATACATAAAGAGCATTTTATCAGCGAGGAACACATTTGATTGAGAAAACTTCTGATCATCCCAGGCAGGAAAGGCCATTCATTGGCAGAAATGCTGTTTCTAATCCATCTATTCTTAAAGCTTTGGATAAGAATTAAGGGGAATGGCAGTGAATAAACCAGATCCTGGTGGTGGTGGCTGCACCCACCTCTTTGGTACCCAAAAACATTCTCCTTGGACTATTGCTGCTCACCGTCCTTATTTGAGACCTGTATCACAGGATTAGTTTTAAAAAGCAAAGGTTCTCCTGGCTTGGAAAACTCTGTGGAAAACAGGTGAAGTTTTATTGGGATATGACAAGAGCAAGGTGAAGGCAGTTGTTCCTGAGCGTGGATGGATCCAGCAGGAGCTGAGGTTGGTGGTCCAACCTCACACCCCCTGAACTCGGCTCGCAGGGGGAGGAGGGTCTGTGACAGAGTTGGGGGCTTCACTGCCCGGCCCCATCCCTGCTCCCCACCTTCGGGGTCTCCACAGCTGAGGGGGAATGGGGCACCCAGTGCCTGGGACACCCCCCAGCCCAGGTCCTGCCTCCCTCCCTCTGGGGCTGGACGAGCCCCTTGGGGGAATCCTGTTCCTATGGGGGGTCCTAATCCCCAGGGAGGTTCCTGCCCCCCCGGGGGGTTCTCTGCCCATCCCAGGGGGATTCCTGCCCTCTCCCCAAGGGGGGAACCTGCCCCTCTGCCCCGAGAATTTCCTGCTCCCACGGTGGGATTCCTGCACACCCCCCTCAGAGTGTTCTGCACCCTCAGCAGGATTCCTTCTCTACCCAGGGGGAAATTTGCCCCCCAACAGGTTCCTGCCCCCTAGGAATCCCCTGAGGGGATTCCTGCTCCTCTTTAGAGTTTTCTGTCCCCCCCAGGAGGTTCCTTCCCTGTCCAGGGTGTATCCTGCCTCCCCAGGAGGATTCTTGCCCCCCAGCAAAGTTCCCCCTGGGGGGATTCCTGCACCCCCTCAGAGTTTTCTGTACCCCCAGCAGGATTCCTTCCCTTTCCACGGGGGATCCTGCCCTCAAAGGAGGTTCCTGCCCCCCAGGAAAGTTCCCCCTGGGAAGATTCCTGCCCCCCCTTAGATTTTCTGTCCCCCCCAGGGGATTCCCTCCCTTCCCAGGGTGTCTCCTGCCTCCCCAGGGGGGTTCCTGCCCCAGGAGAGCCCCCGACCCCAAACCCTGCCCTGCCCCTCCCGCACCCCCAACCCCCCGATCCCCCCGACCCCCCTCACCTGTGGGGGCGTGTCCAGGTGAGGGGGCGTATCCCCGTGGGCGTGGCCGCGGGGAGGGCGTGTCCCGGTTGGGCGTGTCCGGTGACGCAGTGGGCGGGGCAGGGCGGGGCGGCGGCGGCGGCGGCGGCGGCGGCTTCCAGCGACTTCGGCGGGCGGTGAGTGCGGGCGGGGTCGGCCCTCGCTGCCCGCGGGGGATGCTCGGCCCCCGTGCGGGGCCGCCCGGGGGGTACTGGGCCCCCCCCCCTCCACGCTGGGGCCGGGCGGAGGATGCTCAGCATCCCCCGGTGGGGTCGGACCCGGAGAATTCGATCCTTTCCAGCCTCCTCCCGGGGATGCTCTGCCCCTCCCGAGGGGATGCTGAGCCCCCCCGGTGGGGCTGCAGTCGAGGGGTTTTACCCTTATAGCCTCCCCCTGGGGATGCCGTGCTCCCCCCACCCCGAGAGGATGCTCTGCTCCCCCCCCAAAGGGATGCTCTGCTCCCCGCGGCGGGGCTGCATTTAGGGGGCTTTACCCTTATTGCCTCCCCCTGGGGACGCTCTGCCCCTCCCGTGGCGATGCTCGGCCCCCGCAGTGGGACTGGAGTCGGGGGGCTTTATCCTTTATTGCCTCCCCCTGGGGATGTTCTGCTCCCCCCGCCCAGAGGATGCTCTACTCCACCCGCTGGTGCTGGACTGGGGGGGGTCTCTGCCCTTTCAGCCTCCCCCCGGGGATGCTCTGCTCCCCCCCGAAGGGATGTTCTGCTCCCCCCGCGGGGATGTTGGGCTCGGGGGTCTCAACCCTTTTAGCGCCCCGGGGGGTGCTGTGCTCCCCCCCACGGGTGGACGGTCCCCATTGCCCCTCGGGTGGGGCCGGGCCGGGGGTGCTCAGCTTGCCCTGCCTCCCCCGGGAGGGGCTGGATCCCTCCGAGGGGGCTTCGTGTCCCCCCCGGGGTGGCTGACTCGGGGTGTTCTGAGCTCCCCCGTTTCCCTGGGGTTGGATCTGAGCTGAGGGTTGTCATTGTCCCCCTGAGCTGGGTTGGAGGGGACCTGCTCTGCCCTGGCATCACCCCCAGGCTGGGCATCAGAGCCAAGGGGACAGTGAAGAGTGGGCACATTCCCTCCCCGAGGCTGCATGGCTGGGGAGGGGGAGGCAGTGATTCCTGTAATGAGGAGGGGGCTCCTTGATTTATAGCTGCTCTCTGCCCCTGGCAGCCCCCCAAGCTGTCCCTCTTCACCCCCCTCCCTCCCAGCTGCCACCTTACACTGAGGGGAGGGCAGGGATGGGGGTGGGCCTGCTCCTACCCCGGCCTTCTCCCGCTCCTGTGATTTATCCCAGTATCCCCCCCCTCAGTGCTGTCCCAGCCCCCCAGCTCCGGGCTGTGTCAGCCCCACTGAGCATCTGCCTGGCACCGAGCTCCGGGCTGGGATGCTGCCACACAGATGCTCGTGGAGCTGGGCACCGGATAAATGCTTGCCAGGCTGGTCTGGCCTGGACATTGGCCACTGTGCCCGGGGCTGGACCAGCACGAGGAGCGTCCAGCCAGCCCGGGCAGCTCCAGCTGTGCCCACATCCTCTGTCAGCTGGGGCCGGCTCATCACAGCCATGGCAAGCTGCCTCCAGACACCAGGCTTTCCTCCTGAATAACCAGCCTTTAAGGGCTTATTTATCCCCTAAATTGCATCATTATAACAGCAATTGGCTTAGGGAGCCGGGTTTTGTTAGAGCTGTGCAAACCCTTCTGGGGACGCCCTGGTTTTGGCCCAGTCGAGGTTGGCAAAGTGTTCCTTTTAAGCTCATTTGCCACCATCTGCTGGATACTGGGATGGGCTTCTCCTGGTGGGTTTGATACCCCCAAGCCACTCTGTGAGTAGGAGCTGGTCCAGAGGCGAGGTGTGAGCTGGAGTTTGGGGCCTGGATGTGCCCGTGTGCTTTGGGAGTCTCTCGGTCGTGGCACTGCCCGGGCTTCAGAGGAGGTGGAAAGTTGGTGTCTTTGTGTCTCTGATGGCCTGGGAGTCTCAGATACCTGTGTTCTTAGGGACAGCACGAGGTGCTGCTCCCTGTGTGTGCTGCTGGACTGATCCCTGGGGACTTCCCTGGAGGTTTGTCAGGGAGCCACCAGCACAGCTCCCTGCCGCCGTCTCCCTGGCACCCGGCGCTGCTCAGGGGCCTTCCCAGCCTTGGTGCTTGTTCCTCCTGCACCTCTTTTCCAGGAGACACCCCAGAGGTTGTGCAGGACCTGTGTCCCCACTGCAGACTGGAGGAGCCTCTGAAGTGGCAGGTTCCTGAGACACCAGTGCTGGGACTGGCGGGCAGGTCCGGCAGAATCAGCTCAGCTGTGGGATCAAACATTTCACCCCTCTCCAGGAAGCTTTGTGGCTTCGTGGGTCTCACTCTGCACCAGGGGCTCTGCCCAGCCGTGCCTTGGTGCTCCCCAGCAGCTGGAGTGTGGGTGCTGAGGGATTGAACCCGCTGCAGATTTGGGGTCCTGCCTGGCTCAGTTGTCTCAGGGGGGTAAAACCCACCCTGAAACCTCCTTCATTTGTGTCTTTTGAGGGGCCTTTGTGCAAGCCTTGTCCTGTCAGGCAGCTCCCCCCGGAGTGCAGGGGGTGAGGCCGGGGGTGAGGGTGGTGGGGTGAGGACGAGGAGGCTCAGGGTGGGCTGGTGGGGTCTGGTGGCCGTGAGTCGGTGCTGGGGACGAGCCCGGCCCCGTGTTGGGGGTGGGAGTTCACACTGGAGCTGGGGGAGGCAGCCCTGGAGCCTCAGAGGGGGCTGAGCCCAAACACCCCAACTGACCAGAATTCCCTGGTCATCCTGGTGCCACTTTTCTGCAATTTTTTTGCATTTTGAAGTCATTTGAACTCAGTGACGTTGTATGAGAACAAAGCTGTAGTGGAAAGGAACAGGACGTGGTCTATGGGACAGACTTCATGGTACCTGTGTGCTGTGGGTTATATTTGCTGCTTGTAAGGGGGGAAAATAACCCTGAGTTAATAACTTGGAGGGCCCCTCTGGGGACAGGGAGTGACTGGCAGTGCCATTTCAGGTTTTCCAGCCAAGCAGAAAGATACTGGATTCTTTATCTAACCTTGAAACCTTAATTTACTATTAATTTCCTCCTAAAGAATGCTTTGGTGAGGCAGAGGTTTCCCAGATGGCTTCCAAAAGTGAGCTGGGAGGTCTCTGGAATATTAACTGGTGGAGGAGGATGTTGGGTCCATTGCCAAGCTTTCCTCCCAGAGGGACAACCCTGCAGTCTGCAGATGCTTTCTGTGGAAAGCCAAGCACTGGGTGTGGGGTGAGGGACTGACTGAGGCTGAGGGCTCTGGCCTGGGCTCTGTGGGTGGGTCCAAGCCCTGGCCAGGCTCCCGAGGGACCTGGGGGGGAGGTTTTGGTGCCTAGAGGCCTCCTGTGTGAGCAGGAGATGCCGAGAGGCTGGAGGTGGGTGCCCGTGTGGGTGTGTTCACATGGGTTGGCATTTGGGAGGGAGGGAAAATATCACATGAAACAACTGCAGTGTTGGGGGACAGGTCTGTGCCTGGGCCCATCTGGAGCAGAAGTCGTGGGAAATGATTGAATGACTCTTTGCTAAAGAAAGTGGTGCTGATATAATTGGATTTTGCTGCTGTTTGTGCCGTGGTCGAGCAGGTTAAAACCCTCGTGGGCACATGGGGAAACCCTCTGGCTCATTGGCAGGGTGAGGATGTCCTGAGGAGTCTGAGGCTGAGAAAGGCTGGGGCTGCTCAGCCTGGGGAAAAGAGGGTGGTGTGGAGACCTCACAGCCCCTTCCAGGGTCTGAAGGGGCCTCCAGGGAAGCTGGAGAGGGGCTTTTCCTCAGGAACTGGGGTGACAGGACGAAGGAGAATGTGTTCACACTAAAAGAGAAGAGATTTAGATTAGATGTTAGAAAGAAATAATTTTCTCAGAGGGTGGGGAGGCCCCGGCACAGATTTCCCAGAGAAGCTGTGGCTGCCCCTGGATCCCTGGAAGTGTCCAAGGCCAGGTTGGACGGGGCTTGGAGCATCCTGGGCTGGTGGAAGGTGTCCCTGCCCATGGTGGGGGGTGACACTGGATGAGTTTTAAGGTCCCTTCCAACCCAAACCAGTCTGATTCTGTGATTCTGTGAGTGAAGTGGGTGCTCATCTCTCTCATTTCCGTGCAAAGCCCAGCCTGGGGCAGCCCTGTGCAGCAATTCCCATCCCGCGGGAGGATTTGGGTGCCAAACCTTCCCCAAAATCCAGTGGCCAGGAGGGGACTGACCCCGTGTCCTCTCCTCCTTCCCTGCCTCCTCACCCCGGTGTTTCAGAGCAGCTCGTGGCTCGTGGCTGCCTCCAGCTCTGGAATCCTGCAGGACTGACGAGGCTGGAATGGATCTGAAATGCAGATTATTCTTTTTCCCAGCTCGAAGGAGGTGCCGGCTGGGTGGCTGCCTTTAATTGCATCCCCCCCCCCCCCCAAAAAAAAAAAACCCACAAGAGGAAAACAAGTGGCGGCTGAGAGCTCATCCCCCCCTTCCCATGCCCGTGCCCGGCGCCTTCCAGGAGAGGGCAGTTCCCGGGGATTTTTGCTGCATGGAGCCGCTCTGCCCTGCAGCCTCCAGCCGTGCCCAGCCCCTCGGGGGTCTCGGAGGCAGAGCCATGCCAGGGAATGCCAGGGAATGCCAGGGAATGCCAGGGCACGGGCACAGCTCCTCCGGGGGGAGGTGAGATGCTGCCAGGGGCGGCCGAGCGCTTTAAATAGCGAGCGCGGCGCCGGGGGATGTGCGGCAGGGAGGGAGGCTCTGCCTGCCTGGACTCTCCTTCCAGCCTTCCCGAGGGCACAGCATCCCTGGCCAGGGCAGGGGGGCACGGCAGGGCGAGGGACCCCTCCTGTACCGCTGCCCAGCCACCAGCTGCGTGGGTTTAAAGCTCGTTGCCACCCTTTCCTGGCTGAAATGAATTTTCCCTGTAATTCCGGGTGGGATTCCATCCCCTGGGTGGGTGATGTGCTGCAGCCCTGGCGTGCCCAGGGGGTCCAGAGCCCAGAGGTAGGGGCTGGGCTGTGTGTGGGATAGCTGGAGTGGAGGGCAAAGGGATGTTCAGCCCCACTGCCAGCCCAGCTCTCACCTTTCCAGCGTCTCATTAGTGCAGTGAATCCTCAAATGGATCCTCTCCTGCCAAAGCCTGGCCTTCCTGGCTTC